TGCGAATGTGCTATTATACTATTGACTTGCTTTGGAGATCTGATTTCTTCCGTTGTTTTGAATTCCAATTTCGGTTTTTCTTCCATTTTTAAAGACAATTGATGAGGTCCGTTCCACCAAAGTTGATGTACCGCTAATTGAGAGGGTAACATGCCTCTGCTTGTGCAATCAGCTGGATTTTCGCTTGATTTTATGTAGCGCCAACAGGTTGCGGGAATTATCTCTGTAATTGACTTAACTCTGTTCGCAACAAAAACTTTCCACTTGTCCGGATTTCCTTGTAGCCACCCTAGTACTGAAGTCGAATCGGTCCAGCCATACATCTTGATGTGATGAGTATTCAAGCTATTCTTCACTTTGTTCATCAATTTTGCAAGAAGATGAGCTCCGCTTAATTCCAGCTTCGGTAAAGTAATATTTTTGTTGTAAGGAACTAACTTCGATTTTCCCACAAGTAAGTTGATGTTGTGTTGTCCACAGTACTCTGTTTTGCAATAAATGACGCATCCGTATGCTTTTTGCGACGCATCAGAATAGCCATGGAGTTCGATATTACTTGTGGCTCCCGTGTTGATCCATCTTGGTATTTTAAATGTGTTTATGATGTTAATCTCTTGCTTGATTTTGAGCCACTCTTTACTGACGTCATCGGGGAGCATGTCATCCCATTGCAGATTAATCTTCCATACCGATTGAAAAAGTAATTTTAGCTTTGTAGAAATCGGAGTCAGCCAGCCGAGAGGGTCGAATAATTTCGATATTTCTGATAGTAATTTCCTTTTAGTGGCAGAGGGTTCCGTAGAGTTAATTTTACATTGAAAGAAAAATTGATCTTGTTTTGGATCCCAGTGTAGTCCGAGCGTCTTGGTAGATGTTGGTTTCTTGAAATTGTATTGATCTGCAGATTGGTTTTCAGGGTTAAAGTCTTGTAATATACTCGTAGAGTTTGACATCCATTTTCGTAAGTTGAATCCTCCTGCTCTCAATAATTTTATAAGTTGCTCTTGTAATCTTGTAGCTTTTTCCACACTTGTGCAGCCGTGTAGCAGATCATCCATGTAGAAACAGTCTTCAACAGCCGTAGCTGCTTCAGGGTAGGTATTTTTCTCGTCTTGGGCCAACCTTCTCAACGTCATCATTGCCAAAAATGGGGCGGCCTTGGTGCCATAAGTGACAGTTGTGAGTTGGAATTCTTGAAGTGCTTGGTTAGGATGGTCTCGCCAGAAAATTTTTTGCAAGTGCTGGTCGTTCTCATGTACCCAAATTTGACGGTACATCTTCTCTATGTCGGCTATGAATGCAATGCGATGCTGCCTCCATTTCAAAATAAGTAACATAAGGTCATTTTGAAGATTCGGTCCCTTGTACATAAAATCATTAAGGCTTGTTCCATTGGATGTTGTTTGCGATGCATTGAAGACAACTCGAAGAGCCGTAGTACTTGAGTCTTCTTTTAGCACGCAATGGTGAGGCATATAGTATTCCGGTTTCTTGTTACGAGTTACCGGTTTCATATGACCAAGTGCAATGTACTCGTTGATAAACAACTTGTATTGTGTTGCAATTGAATTATTTTTAAATAATTTCTTTTCTAATTGTTGAAATTGTGCAATAGCTCTATTTTTAGACTGGCCGATTTCTGTGGCATATGATGTTTTAAGGGGAAGTCGTACTTGGTATCTTCCATCTTGTAATCTTGTCGTTGTGGCGTTATAGAGATCTATGCACTCTTGTTCTTGTGATGTAACTGAGATGTCATCGATTATATCTTCTATCTCCCAAAAAGACTGAATATTTTCCATATCATTGAGTATGACATTGCATTGTAGACTGTGTGTCTTGCCACACAAAATCCAACCGAGTTTTGTTTGTTGAATAACCGGCGTATATTCTTGTTTAATGAGACCATCCAAAATAATGTTTGCGTAAATATCGGCTCCCAGTAATAAATCGATTTGTTGGCTTATGTAAAATTCTGGATCAGCGAGTTCTAGGTTTTCTATAATTTGCCATGATGGTTTCGGGAATGAACAGGTAGGTAGATTTCTTGTTAAGTTTTTCATTATATAAACATCTAAGTTGAAGGTATGTCCTCCCCTTAAGGACGTGCAATTGATTTTTGCCATTCCTTTACAGATGTTGTCTTTAGTGCCAATTCCTGTTATAACTCCACTGTATTTGAAGCGATGTACTTTTAGAGTTTGTGCAGCATGTTCTGTTATTAGGGAAACTTGAGATCCCTGGTCAATAAGAGCACGCATGATCCTGAATATTCCATCTGATCCTTGAACTCTTATCTTGGCCGTGGCGAGTAAGACTTCTGACCTTTCACGTTGTTGAGCCACGTGAGTCGCGCTTGTTCGCTGAGCTTGCTCCTTTGGCGTAAATTGGGTTCTTGCTGACGCTTGACTTGTAAATGCGTTGTGAAGGAGTGTATTGTGACATCCATTGCACGTTTTACATCTTTTGTTGGAGTTGCAACTTTTTTCTTCGTGTTTGTAGAGACAATTGGTACAAAGTTTTAGTTTCCCAATTGTATTTATTTTCGTTGCAGGCGACATATCCAGGAACTGTTGACAGAAGTATATCCCGTGATCACCTTTGCATATAGGGCATTGGATCTTGTTTCCTTGAGACCACGCGTTGGTTGTTGTTTTGTTGCTTAAATAATAATTCTTGGTTTGTTGTTGCGGTCTGTAGGGACGGCTATTTCCAGATGTTGTTGGTATACTGTAACTTGACCTCTGTATTGCGTTATCTTGCTTGCGTCTTGATGCTTCTAAAGCTGTAAACTTGCCTTCAAGGAACCCCAAAAATTCTTTTAATGATGGTAATTCCCGTGGTAAGGTCAATGATTCCAAATAATCATTATGGGTCTCGGCGTCTAGTTTCTGTGCCAATAGGTGTACTAAGATGGGATCCCAGGTGGTTATATCAACCCCTAAGTTCTTAATACCGTTGAGACATTCTTGGGTTACGTCGTGAATGCGTTTAATTAGACTTGTTGTGGCTTGTTGCATCACTGGAAGTGTCAATAAAGTATTCATATGCGTAGTGAAAATTAGTTTTTTGTTATTATAACGGTGGTTCAGTATATCCCAACACGCTATATAATTATCAGAGCTGATAGTCAGGTGCTGTATTAAGCGTTCTGGTTCCCCTTTTATCTTGCTTTTGAGAAACTGCATTTTTTGAGCATTAGATAAGCATGGGTTGTCGTGTATTGCTTCCGAAAATAAGTCCTTGAACGACACCCATTGTTGGTAATTTCCATTGAATTCCGGAATATCAAGTTTGGGTGTAGATTTCTCTCGATGGAATACCGCCCATAATTTGCTATTAATCTCTTTCTTGATGCGAATATAATCGGCCTCATGTTGGGTAAAAAAATTATCATAATATTTGTCATTTTTTCCGTCGCCCAGTTCACTGTCGATTTCCCAATGAAGTTTGTCGATCGCCAGCCATCTCATCTCAATATTTTTCAACACATCTTCGAACTCCCACTTCTCTTTAATATTATCAATTTCAATATGAGATAAAGTGCGTGAAAAAGCTTTGAAATTGGTTAATTGTTTCCTGAGAAGCAGTTCTACTTTTTCACTCTTGTTTCTGGATCCTGATGAACTATCTTGATCAATTTGCTCGTGCCAAATTTCTTTCAGGTCTTCCTTGCTAGTACTTGCCCCAAACTGTTCTTCGTTAGGAATAAAACTTTTTAGAGATTTTCGTATTTCTTCACAAAATTTTTTCGTCTCTCCATAGTGATCTTGAAGGAAGTATTCATCATTGCTGTTGTTGAAACTTAGAATCAGTGCATGATTTTCCGAAAACTCAGTCCAGTTCGATTCTAGAAGTTCTAGCTTATTCTTGATATACACAGGCGTTTTACGTATCTTGCTATCTTTCTTGAAATTAGTCCAAAGTTGTTGTATAGTAGACATGATAATATTCTGCTTCTCAATTAAACTTTCCATCTTGAAAACTTGATAATTTCCTGTCTTGATAGTGTCTTGATTTGAATGAGTTCTTACGTTTGTCGATTTCTTGCTCGAATATTCTTCTTGATAGTAAAAAACAATATATATATAGGTACCTACTTGATATTATGCTTGAATGCTTGTTGTATTGATTTCACTCGTCAGTGAAAAAATATTCAGCCTTCGTCTTGATGAAGGAAAATTCTTGCTGATAATAATAATGGTTTTGACTCGCTTGTTCTTGTTCTTCAGTATTTCCTCAGACTCCGCGTGATCTTATGCGCCTTCTCAACTCGGTCGGTGAGACCCGCTTGTGGGAGGCCGACGAGCCGATTCGCAACCACACGAAACCACGAAAAAACACTGAAAACCTCTCGAAGGACCACTAATGTACGAGCCCTTGTCAACTCAGTACATTGAATTGCTATTTCTTGATATTGAAGACAGGAAAACACTTGATAAACTTGACGAAAATATTTATTATTAAACTTGATGTAACTGTGTGCACACTGCTTGAGACAAACGCGAACTAACTTGGACGTGATTATGAAATGTATTTAAACGGTAAAATATTGACCTAAACAATTAAATGCTTTGCTTGCAAAATGTACGATTTGATCGTACAGAGTCCAAGGTGAACGAGCCAAATTCATGTACAAAACCAAAACTTACCTTTTAAAAGTGTGTTCGGAACTGCTGCGAAGGGAGTAGCGGCAGTGGCTTGATTGGTTGTGGCAAAGTCGCCGGTGATGTTGGCAAAGTTTTTGTATCCAAGGTGTGCTAACTTTGTGTGATTTTAATTACAATACTTACGTTATAGAAGTGTGTTCGGAATTGCTGCGAGGTAAGAAGCGACAGTGGATACGATAATGCCTGTGCTTTCGTCGATACAACTGGTTGTATACGAAAACAAAACGTACGTTATAGAAGTGTGTTCGAAACTGCTGCGACGTATGCAGCGGAAGTCTATTGGATAAAGCGCGAGTCTCCCCTAAATTAGTGTAGAAAAACAAAACTCACGTTATAAAAGTGTGTTCGGAACTGCTGCGAAGTGAGCAGCGGCAGTCGATTGGATAACGCGCGCGCCTCCCGCAGCAGTGCCGGTCGTGGTGGTAAAGTACCGTCGCGTATGGCTCTCACTGTAGCTAGCACCGCTCGTACGCGCGATACGAGCATCTTGATCGCCGAACGCTGAGCGGTCAAGTGCTCCGCCACTGAACACAAAACATTATCCACCATGATCCAACATAATTCGTACAGCCTGTGTGCCCCTGTACTACTATCTTATTTTGTAATTTCTGTCTATTTATACTTGTGTGTAGAAAATGTATAAATAAAAAAATGTGAGCGCTGCTGATAAGGTTCGGGCACATTATTTCGGGCCGCAGCGGGGCACAGCGGCTGCATCGCACGCACCTAACCTCGGCGGAATATGCAGCCCGCTCCGCCCCGGCATAGTGTGCGACAATTCATATAAAATACATACGAGCGATTTGAGCGGATTTTTGCACTGGGACCGGACCCGCTGCAGCTCGATATAATGTGCGCGAACTATTACAATACAATTGAAACTTTATAGCGGCTGTGCAGTTAATAGTGAGCGCTTCTCAGCGCAGCGCAGGTTTCAGAACAGTGACATCCTGCGCGCTCCTACATCACTCTACCGATGTTTACTGCGCCCCGACTTGCGTTAACTTCATAGCCACCATTTTGTTTAAATCGCACTATACATGTCCGCCCACCCAACACATGACTCGGTACTCGAGTACCGAGTCCTGAGCCAATTGGAGATCTGCTCCTTGTAATGGGCGAAATCTAACTGTGGGAAATAATGAAATTATGTGAGGAGTGCGTAAATGCCAACCCTGTACAAATTTATAGTGGATAGTGAATATTTTGAGAATCGCGGCGCTAATAATATCGGGTGACACATATTTCTATACACTCTCATAGAAAGTGTCTCCGTTCTATGAGTGAATAAAAATGCGTGGCACGGAGAATCTAACGCTACGACGCGACGCGACGAATGGCTAAATACAAGCAAAATACTGGTGAAGATTGTACATCCCTTCCCCCCTACACGAGGAAGCTTGCGCAGTAGCAATTTATCATAAAAAAAAGTCTACAGCGGAAGTTTATTTGACTGTGGTTTTGCTCAAGGAGTTTGCCGCGACCTAAACCTGAAGATAGCGCGGACTCCACGCGATTTTGTCGCTGGTGAAAGTGGCGCGTTATAATAAATTTAATAGGTACACGGTGATGTCATGCTTTTTTTAAAGAAACCTCTGTGGCCCAGTGGTTTGTACGCCGGGTTTCATGGTGACTCGGGAGGTCCCAGGTTCCAATCCCGGTGGGGGCAGAATGTATTTCTATATAAGTATCCTTATATACGTACGTTATCCTAGTATCCCATAACACAAGCCTTAGAGTGCTTACCTTGGTGCTAGGTTAATTGGTGTGTTTACAAAAAACATAAGCTAATCCACATGGAGCAAAGATAAATCAAATTATCAGTGCAATATCACGCGGCAATGAGACCTTATCACATTCTATTAGTTACAACAAAGCATTCCTTGGCTAACTTGCCAGAACTCAATATTACAAAATAAAGTTATTTTTGCCGGAGCCTGATAGGACTTAAACTACTTGTATTATAATATATTATTATATGTATTTCCAGTTATGTTGGTATACTAATACAAATATTTATAATAAATAATATGAACACATTATATTTTCATACCTAAACTATTTAAAGCAGCCTCGCCAGACGAGACTCTGGCTACATGATCCACACCAATTCTCTCTGCCTCTTCTGCAGCAAGAGTGTATGTGAGTGGTGCTAGCAACATTGTAGCACGACCATTTACCACATCAATCACCGACTCATACAACACCACTGGAAGTTGCTAAAATAACAAATATATCTTTGTGTACAGAAAATTATAAGCATAGGGGTCAAATTGGATTTCTAAGGGTGCATGATAGGTAAGGGTCAATTTACACTGAAATAGCAGCAGTAGGCAGTGATGTGTTGACCACTTTCTCACTGAAAGTGGTGTGAAATAATATTAAATTTTATCTATATATTTATAAAGACCTGTATCCCTTGGAAAGTTCCGCAAAGTCGCGCGCGTTCAATACTGGTATTTACAAGTACGTAAATAAAGTATAAAGTTATTTCACACCAATTTAATTGAGTAAGTGCTCGCCGCATTGCTACCCGCCGCTGCCATGCCATTGTGGATAACCCCACTGGAGGAAGTTACACGAAACTGCTGTCATTACTCATAGGTTTTCTTAGTTCAATAAGTGGGCAGGACACTCAGGAGAACCAAAGGTCATTTGGGCGAATGGGGACCAACAATCAGAAACTGCACAGTGGGTAGGCCAGGTGTGGACAGCACATGTCATTTTGCTGGATGATGATGTTATTCAGAAAATAACTAAATATTAATTATGGTAGATTTGGAATCGAAAATTAAAATATATGGAAATAATTCCCATATAATTTCCATCCCATGAACCATTGTTTTTAAAGACATTTTCAACTCGTGGTGTAAGTTAAGGAACAGTACTCGCGTCCACAACACCACCAGCACGGGGAGGTTTCGTGAACAAGGTACTCCTTGTTCCTGCTTTTTCCTTAGTGAGCCACCAAATTATTTTACCTAAATATGAGCAAATTAATGTAACATTTTATATAAATTCAACTTTTCAATGTTTCATCTAAGCATGAAAACATTACAAAATTTTAATTTTTACCTCTCCATTTCGTCCTGCTGGATTGAGCATAAGCATAACTGGGCACTCATTGATATCACAAATCTGTCGATGAACAGCTATATCTCTCTCTGTTGGAGTCTCCCCTGTAGTGTACCATCCAAGGAAATCCATGTCCGAGAACACTTGTTTAACTAGAATCATGAAGTCAATCACACATTATAAGAAGAAATACCCATATTTTCAAAGATTTAGACACTGATAAAATCACTTCAGTATCAAAACATTTATTTTAAAATAAAAACTAAATCATCAAAGCAAAACAGTTTAAATAAACACTTACACTGTTCTTCTTTTAAATTATAGTAATCCCTATCTATAACAATGTCTCCATCAATAACACGGAAAACTAATTCAAAGGAGTTCATAACCTCTATATTTCTGCCTTTTTGTTTTCCAATTAAAGCTCCAATCACTGTAAAAACAACAAAAATATATGAATATAAATAATATATATATATTAGACTTGCAATGAATATTCGGTTACTATTCGGTTTTGGTCTATTCGGCTACTTTTATTATATTCGGCCGAATACCGAATATCTACATATTATTCGGCTGAATACCGAATACTTAAAAAAAAAATTTGTCATAGAGAAATAATTGGTAAAATGAAAAATTAAAATTGATTGATTATGTATATATTCATATTTTCATTTCGATTATATAATCATTTAAGTAGTCATTGGTACATAACACAGGTAGGTACATAATCATCTTCTGAATTGGAAAAATGGAGGATTCTATGTATTTCAATTATTGTGGTAATCAAAATTTAGAAGGGTAAGGTTTTCATTTCTTTTATATAATCATTTATTAAGTAGTCATTGGTACATAAAACAGGTACATAATTTAATCATTTTCTGTATTAAACAAGTTAACAGTTTTTAATTCATTCAGTCATGTGATGAATGGTTACATAATAACAATAATTTAAAGTTTATGCGTGGTTTTGGCCATATCTCAAAAATTGGTTTTGTCATTTAGCCGCATTTTAGCTTGAGGACGGCAAATTAGAACAAAACAAAGGAGTGCGAAACAAGTCTGTACAAGTTTTTGGTTCTAAAATCCAGCCGAATACTTTTTCCTAATATTCAGCTATTCGGTCAGGGGCCTCGCCGAATATTCGGTATACTGCCGAATATATTATTTGTTGCAAGTCTAATATATATATATATATAATAAACAAATAAAATATATGAATGGATAATATTTTTTATAATGAGCATAATAATAAACAAAATAAAAAAAATCTTAATATCATGTGTGTGTAACTTCATAAAAAATCCATGGAAAGAAATTTCGAGAGTCCAATCTATTCCAAATTCAGATTATGATCACTGAATTAGGATACACTATGGTGTTACCTGTTTGTGGGGAACCTTCTTGTGCTCTGAGGCGTGTCCAATGTTCAGATACGTTCATGATAACCAAAGGATGTAAGGACACTGTGACTGAACCCGAAGTGGCGGTCGTGACTACCACGCTTTTTGTGGCTCCTCCAGGAGTAGCAGGGGGAGCTGGCGAAGTAGGATTAGGTGGTTCCACAGGTGGGCCCGAAGATGCACTCTCTACCTCCACTTCCATTTCGAAGTCGATCCGATCCGCACTGGCCATATCTTTTTCGACTATTGACTATATTTCTAATGCTAATGTTATAGTAACAGATCACTGGAGAAATGCTTGTCAATTTTTCAAAATAAATAATCCCATCACAGAAACACAGACGAAGAGTGCTTTGTTTTATTTTCGATTTGTGCCCTTTCAATTCCAAATTCCTTCATGCGATAATCCGATTGTGCAGTGACAACTGACAATGACAGTCACATTGACAGTGACAGTGGCAGACTGTTTGACCAATTATGGTAGCCATACACACTACGAGAAATCTTTACGATTAGACTGTACAGTCCAAACGGTACCGATAAATCGTAGCGTATATGTTATAAAACTGCACAGTTTCCTACGATTTATGAAGACTGTACAGTCATAGGGTGCGGCCAGAGTGCACTCAGATTCAGATTCCGAAAACAAGCGCGAGAAATAAACAGTGTAGTCGAAGAGTACGGCCAGAGTGCACTCCTGATTCAGATTCAGATTCAGACTCAGAAAACAAAGCGCGAGAAAAAGCAGGCAACCTGCTTAGACTACACTGTTTATTTCTCGCGCTTGTTTTCAGAATCTGAATCTGAGTGCACTCTGGCCGCACCCATACGGAGCAATACGAAAATTTCAATTGATTTATCGGAATCGGATGAACTGTACCGACTAATCGTAACGTGTATGTGCTCGTTCAGTTTTCGTGTTCAGTTTTGTCGTCAGTTGCAGTTTGGGTTGTTGTATTCAGTAGATGTAAGTATGTATCATGATCCATTCTTAAAAAAATATGCCAGTCTTTTGGAAACATCTTTAATTCCGACAACAAACTGACATGAGAGTGAACTCTTCTTTTCATTAGCCATTCTTTGCACCAGATGCTACGATTTTTTTGCTTCACTATATTTTCTTTCAGGGCGAATATTAATCCAACAACTGCTAAAACGTCATTCGTCGAAGCCATCACTGACACGTGTGCGTCGGCGTCGTTTATTGTACCGTCTGATCGTAACGATTCCTCGTAGCGTGTATAACTCCATGTACGATAAACTGTTCCGTTCGAACTGTACAGTCTGATCGTAACGATTTCTCGTAGTGTGTATGGCTACCATAAGTATGTGTCATGATCCATTCTTAAAAAAATATGCCAGTCTTTTGGAAACATCTTTAATTCCGACAACAAATTGACATGAAAATGAACTCTTCTTTTCTTTAGCCATTCTTTGCACCAGATGCTACGATTTTTTTGCTTCACTTTATTTTCCTTCAGGGCGAAAATTAATCCAACAACTGCTAAAACGTCGTCCGTCGAAGCCATCGCTAACACGTGTGCGTCGGCGCCGTTTATTGTACCGTCTGATCGTAACGATTTCTCGTAGCGTTTATGGCTACCATTAGAATTCTACCGTTGCAAACTTCAAGCCCATAGACAAAAGAACATAGTACAACGAGCTTTAGAGGGTCACAGTGACGATCCTGCATAGCAACCCGCCCTACACGAATCGAGACGCATTTGCTCTCTGTTGCCGGACGACATTCAGGCTGCGAGGCTGCGACAACATTCACAATCCTGCTGCATATTGCGACAGACGGCAATGCGGCCTGCCGTGTATGGGCGCATTAAGCTGGATTTATAATTGTCCGTCGTGTTGTATCGTGTGTACGTTCCGCTGTCCCGCATGCTGGATCCAGTAAAGCAATAAGGATAGTGCTTACAGGACTTGATTCCAATTGGTTGACTTGGCACCGTCTTTAATCTCTGGTTGGCACTGGCAAACATAGAGTGAGTACTTTATTTTCCGAATCAGCCGCGCGAGCCGAATCTGTGCATCTGTGCATTATGCTCGCAAATGACAGTAGTCCTATGTTATTTTTTGATAAATTTATTAAGAAAATCGGTGATTTATATAGAAATAGTGCTGTTTTTAATTTGACACGAATACTAAATGACTTAATATCAAATAACAACAACAATATACCTCTTACATCCTACTTATTACCTACATTCATTGGTGTTTGAAGATAACCCTATATCACAGGTCAGCAGTGCTTATATATAAAAGATTTTGTCATGGCAGCAACAGTTACTAAAGCAGTTGGTGTAACTAAGGATGTTTTGCCACTGTACTACAGAATTTTATCAAAATTTCCCCAAAACCTGGCATTTTGCTTCGCATACGGATCCGCCGTCAAACCCCAACTAAGCAATCAAAAGAAACAAAACATGATTGACCTGATTTACTGTGTAGAAAACTCTCATAGATGGCACGGGGCGAACATAGAAATGAATCCCTCACATTACTCAGCACTTCGATTCCTGGGAAAAGGCTTCATTGCACAGTTTCAAGAGAAATGGGGTGCTAGAGTGTATTTCAACACCCTCGTCGAAATGAAAGACGAAAATGTTACAATCAAGTATGGTGTTGTCTCACAAAAGGATTTAATTGCAGATTTGCTTGACTGGAATGATTTATATTTAGCAGGACGGCTTCATAAACCAGTAGAAATCATTAAACAGACAACTAGTTCTCATTTGCAAAATGCTTTACAAACTAATTTAAAATCTGCTGTTCATGCAGCACTTTTGATGTTGCCAGAGTCATTCTCTGAATATGATTTTTACTTTACCATTTCCAACCTTAGTTATGCTGGTGACTTTAGAATGACTTTTGGAGAAAATAAAAACAAAGTTAGGAACATTGTACAACCACAACTTTCAAACTTCCGTGATTTGTATGCACCCATTCTACAACAATTTCATATGTATGTTGATATTCCCACGGGAGACTCCCAGTGCCATCAAGATGTACATCCTGAAACGAAACTCCATCACCTAATGCAATTGCCCATCATCCCACAACAGAGAATAGTAAAATTTTGGAATCATGGAGGGTTGCAACAAGACATGGAAGATGTACTCAGAGCTCTTGCTTATGACATAGACTGTGCTGTCATTTTAAGTCAAATACTGAAAGATTTAGTATGGCAATCTAGTGTAAGACAATCACTAAAAGGAATCCTCACAGCAGGATTTTTGAAATCAATTCGTTACAGTTTTAAGAAAATATCGAAAATGTTCTAAATTTTAATTTTGTATTTAGTGTAAAATAAAAAGTTATAATATGTATATATATTATATAGTTATAATTCTTACAGTAAATGTACAAAATAAAGTTAGTATTACAATCAATATTCTTTTTGATTCAAGAATTTAAATCCTCTCTTTTTGTTTTTAGGTGTGAAAATGTTATCTGATGAATCCAGCAGTGATTCTGAGACTGGTAGATTTAAATGCAGAACAAAGACTCAAGATGATCAATCTAAAAGCAATAGGAAAGAAGAACATTTTCGATCATCTGCTAGAAGTAGACCTGATAGTGACAGGTTTCGTAGAGAATTAGAAAAACCTAGTAGAGATGATAAAGATAGGCATGATAGATATCCAAGAGATAGAAATAGATTTTCAAGACATTCACCTCCTAGAAGGCGTTCAAGAGAGAGAAGCTCTGGCCGCAGGTCACATGAGCATCATAGGCACAGTAGGAATATAAGAGAAGGCAGTAAACCTAGCAGGAGAAGCACTAGCAAGGATAGAAAAAGAGATTCTAGATCCAGATCTCACAGATCACCAGAACATAAAAAAGATTTAAGAAAAGAAATAAAACATAACATTTCTCGAGAAAAAAGTGAAGAAAAGTCTTCAACAAGACCAAGAGAGAAAGTCACTGCATTGCCTGATCAGAGAGGGAAACGATCTGAAATTTATATATCACCACCAATGAAAGTAAACAAAAGCAAAAGTACGAGTCCAATTGTTGTAGAACGGCATAGTGACTCATCAGAAGAAGTTCAACCAGGATCTTACTACAGTATGATACCTGCTGTTATCAAAGATAAGTCTGAAGAGTCCAGTGAAATAGACTCTTCTGATGATGAAAAACTTAGAGCGAAACTTTTAAACTTAGAAAAAGAGCTTCATAAAACCAAAAAGAAAAAGCATAAGAGGAAACACAAAAAGAAGCATTCAAGATCAAAGGACAGAGAACCAGATCCCCCTACTGTTGTTGTAGAAGTTAGTAGCACTACGGATATACAAGACAATGTGAATAATGAAGAACCCAGTCAACCTGATGTTGTAGAAGTTTCTTCAACACAGAAGAGTGTTCAAAAAGAAAGTGGAGAAGAAGGCGAGATAATAAGTGATGATGACTCACAGAGCCAATATGAGATTGACCCCAATGATTTAAGACACAAGTTGAAACGTTCAATAGCCAAGCCTCAAATCAAAACGGTAACTTGTGGTCCTACTTTACCACCAAACCTAGAAAAACACAAAAGTAGAAAATCGCCTGTGATTGAAGGACCTGCACTACCACCTCATTTGCAGAAGAAACCAAAACACATAGGTATATCACATTTCCTTTCACATAAATCTCCATTAACATGCATGAAATGGTACTCATTTCCTTTTCAAATTGAATAAAGTGCAGATTACTTACAATAATCCCACCAAAAACATTCTGTTCAAACTAGCCAAGTCTCGATAGAGCTGCTTGTTTATCTCTAAAAAGTAATTAAATCTAGACAAAGTCGTGCCAAGTCTAAGGTTCCTTACAGCAATTTCTTTATTATTATAGTTAATGTTGTGTGACTTGGCCGTTGAAGGGTACACAAGGGTACAAAACTAGGTGCTACATGACACCATTGCACCAATCTGTCGCCAGAACCGCTACCCATTGACGATGGAAAATTGCCAATTGGAAAATGTTGATTGAATAACCAGTCAATTGTAACTTTGTAAATAGTTGACTGGTTATTCAATCAACGTTTTCCAATTGGCAATTTTCCATCGTCAATGGGTAGCGATGTTTTTGGTGAGATTTCACTTCTTTTTGTAGAAACGTGGGCATATTGATTTATTTTATTAGATTTTCTTTTTTGACACATTTTTTCTTTTTAGGAGTAGTCTTTTTATTATTACAAATCTTTCTTTTCTTGTTTTCCGGTTCTGATTCTTGAACATTAGCAACAGTTTTTCGTATTGCCCATTCGCGTTCTTTATTTATTCTTTTAGACGGTTTAATTTCTGAAAGATCGGCGCCGTATTTACGCCTAGGTCGGTTGTATTCGGCGATAGCTGAAGCTTGAGCTTTTATACTCTTGAAGTCAACATTTATGAGGTGCACCCCATGAAGATTGGTTACTCGTGAAAGCGCCACGTAGGCTTGGCCACAAGAGAATATGGAGGTGCCAATGTCCATGAGGGTATTTTTTAGACTTAGACCTTGGTATCACCGCCACTCTTAGTCCAATGCATTATATTTTGATCAAATTTTGAGCGAAATTAATATTTTAGTGTAATTTGTTTATTTAATAATAATAATAACTTTATTTTGAACATTTAATTTGTGTAATGTTCGAGTAGAATAAAGTTAATCGTTCGACTATTTTTTCTTGTAAACTCGTAAGTATAAGTATAATAGCCAGTCTAGTGTTATCCAGAGTTCTTTAATTTTATTTATATGCACAAGTAGAAGGGGAGGCATTCGCCCAGCAGTGGGACGCCATAGACTAGATTAAATTAAAAAATGTGTACCACTACACTGGATTTTTGCAATGACAGTCGATTTTTTTAATCTCTGTAAGTTATTCGGTTTGTCACTTATATGATCATCTGTAAATCTTCAATGATTCAACATCACACCATTTAAGTTTATTCTCTGTTTGTCCCAGTTTATTAATCTACGAGTAAATGTATATTATGAGTTGATGAAAAGAGTTTAGGTGATAGAGGGTCTCCCTGATGCACGTCCTTTTGTATTTGGAATTCTCCCTCAGATTCCAATTTTATTTAGCTGTGGTTTATTCATATATATATCAAATTACTGTAAAATATTTATTGGGTATCCCTTAACTTTGGAGAGCTTTCCATATGTATCTATGTGTTAATGAATTAAATGCCATATTTTAGTCTACGAAAGCTAGGTATTACTTCTTTTCATATTCAATTTCGTTTTCTCTATTAGTTATTTAATTGTGCGAATATGATCGATAGAATATGTTTTTCGAGAAGACTATACGTATTTGACATGAGGCTCGTAGGTCTATAATTCTGTACTCCTTTTTGTTACCTTTTTTATGTACGAGGATAATTGCAGACGTAGCCCATTGTGTCGGTATTTGCTCTTTTAATATTATTTTATCAAATAGTTCTTTTAATACATTAATAAATATTTTCCCACATCCCCTTTCAGCAGATCATTAGTTATGTTGTCTATTAGGCTTTGGCAACTTCACTTTCTATGATTAGCCCGATTTCATCTTCCTTGAGCCTTATGTGCTAACTACTAAAACTATGGTCTGGATATTTATATTCATACATTTTTGGTAGAAATCCGTTGCAATACATGCATATTTATAATAGTTATTTTGTTGACATCAACTTAAAATTTGATCTAGCAACCCATTTCTATTGGTTAAAATTACTGTTTATCTGCCTAAACTTCATAGTTTTTACTCATAATATTCATTTAAAAGATCTCGGTCTTACTGGATACAAATAATAAAAATAAGAAATTTACATTGAAGTTAAATCAATGTAATTACTAATATGCATACGAACGGCTAGTCGTCAATGACAAACATGGGTGTACTAATATTTCTTATAAAAAAAATATGTTTTAGGACCTGCCATACCAGATAATATACGAAAAGTCTTATCCGAAAATGTCAGCACATATGAAAGTCCTGATGAGGATGATGGTATTGGTCCACTACCTGCTGGATCTGAGGAGAAGTGGTCAGAGGCACATCAACGGCTAGAAGAACGAGCTCTAGATATGAAAATTAGAAAATTAGATGGGCATTCACTGCATAAGGCCGATGTGAAATCTCGCGAGGAATGGATGCTGAAACTTCCTGAGGGCAAAGCCAAATATTTGGGATTAGAAGCACGAAGTTTTAGGGCTAAAGAAGGACCAGACATGTCTGATAGGTAATCTGTTTTTTAGTTCTGATCCTTACAAAGATTTTTTTATATTAAATTAAACCTAGTCAGAAACAATAATTAATATTTCAGGTCGAGTTGGACAGACACTCCTGAAGAGAAGGCCCGTAAATTAGCTGGTATTGAAAAGGAGGAAGATATGGATGCAGCTTTGCGCAACGATGCACGAGCAAGACAAATTGCGAATAGAGATGACGAACAAGAAGATGCAATCAGGTAAAAGATTAGTAAGAATGTCAACACCAATTTACACTTAATTATTAATGGAATAGTAAAAATAGTGAGGAATACAAGTAATGTAAAAAAATATCATTTTACAGGAAACACAAGAAAAAGCACAGAAGGGATGAGAGCTTATTGGAAATGCACGAAAGAAAACTGAAGAAAAAGAAAAAGGTAAGAGACATTATTTTATAGTTAGCTAAATTCACATTATTCAACAGATAGTTTGAAAGTGACATAGAAGTTGTAAGAGTATTTTTCCTGGTAGTTCTATAAAAACGAGAAGACAATAATCTAAGAGACCAAACAGTTCTACGCGAATGTTTGGATGGTTCTCTAGACACGCCATACCCATATATAGTAAATTTTCAGAAAGAAGAAAAGGACGAAGACAAGAAGGAGCGTCGACCATTCAGTCGTGACGTGGACCTTCAAGTGAACCGTTTTGACGAGGCTCAAAAGAGGTCGATCATTAAGAAGGCACAAGGCCTTGACACGAGATTCTCGCGGGGTGAAGCGAAATACCTATGATTTTATACTTTATATTACTGTGAACGAGTTGGTCCTCGAGCCCTTTCAGTGAACTTAATAGCCATACTGTGCAATCCCCCCAGTCTATAAGAATTTCCAATGTGAGTACCTTATCGAAGGCGACGTTACTTTGTCTATTTCGTGGAAAATATTTGCATCGCTGTTGGTCAATGACATAGCATGACGGATTTATTGAATAATCAATAATAATAATATACCCACGTTTGAAATGTTTTTATTTTAACTTTATGATGTTACACAAAAGTCAAGGTCAGTGCACATATATCACATCTTATCGGATTTGCATTTGTTCTGTTTCAATTAAATTCGATAGAGTGTTGTATAATAAACCAAAATATACTATTTTGGTATGGTAATAGTATATTTTGGTTTATTATTATTGGTAAAGGTAAAAATAATCTGTAATTCTGAACCTGATCTCGAATAAATACTTACTTGTGTAAAAAGTCTAATTATTTAAGAAAGTCTTATGTAAAATATATACAACGCATTATTCAAATTGGAAGCATCATAACCATTAAGCGATATTTGTTTAATGATGAATATACCTAGTTTTTAAATAAGACTCTCTTAAATAAGTAGACAATGGTATAATTCATAGGATGGTAATTTTATTCCTAAGCGTATTTCACTATATTAGACAAGGTATAAGGCGTGCATATTTTTCATTCATACGTAACTTTTTTGAAAGTCGCTGCAGTATTTGAAAAATATGTGTGTACGTTTTAAAATTTTTAAAACCAATTTTTGTAGAGCATATCAGCGTGACATTATTTTTATGCATCGCTTAAAACAACAAAAATGTCAAAAAGCGTAATAATTGAAAAATAATTTTCCGATGCCAAGAAACTAAAATGTTGATTTCCCAATAATCTCCCTTGTTTCGTGTTTTTTACGTTTGTAAAGCATCAACGCAATAATAATTCATTACCGTTTAAGAAATCAGAACTGTATTTTTCAATACTGTGTGTCGGTTGATCTCAAACTAATTTTCGACCCAAATTGGCTTCGATAGAGCAGCTTATGCGAGCCTCATAATTTGAATTCATTTGAGGGAAATTGTTAAAATATTAAGTACTAATTTTAACAACTACTATCTGGTATTATACTGCAGTGCGCTTGATAAACAATAATGTTTTAACCTAAATGGACACACAGTATAAGTGTCTCCTATTTTTAAATATTGGATAAGGCTTAAGTAACTTTTAATTTTTCATGAATTTATGACGTTAGTTTTTATTATCTGTTTAGTTAAACTGAAATTGAAGAATTACGTTAAATTATAAAATGTAAGTTAAGTACAATAATGAATTGATGATTTTCTGGTGATGATTTTATTTACTTATCTGTAACTACCGCCCGTCTATGTAAACTCAATACGGTAATGAATTATGCGACACATATTTTTACAACAATATTTGTACAGATTGTATACTTACATACCAACCGTTTGAAATTTATAGTGTAGCCTGTGTAAATAAACTTGATTTGATGTATATTTCAGTGTTATTATTTTATTTTGAGGAGTTCGCATGGCGCAGGTGGTTAGCGCATTCGGCCTGCGATCGTGAAAGTTAAGCAACTTCCGCAATCGTCGGTCATTGGATGGGTGACAAAAAACTAATTATCTAGAGATCCTCCGTACTTCGGAAGGCACGTTAAGCCGTTGGTCCCGGCTGCATCTGCAGTCGTTAGTCCCACCAATTCGCACCGGGCCCGCGTGGTGGGTCACGGTCACGGCGCAGTCTCACTATTCCATAGGGAAGGCCCGTGCACCTGCAGTGGGGATATTATCAGGCTGATAATGATGATTTATTTAAAAAGCTACTTCTATTTCTACTAAGTTAGACCATGTAAATAGATTTTTAATAATAATATATTTATTTATGTTTAATTTTTATAATACACCTTAAAGAATCAAAATGGTCTTATTTGTTTTAATATGTAGACCATACAGAACACTGATGTGTTCTGCGGGTCATACAATACTAATATTAAATGGTCAGTAATATCTGATACACCCGTGACACATTTACTTACAAAGTCCTCCCAGGTGGCAAGAGTTGTAAGGTTTAATGGTTTAATGTAACGGGTAATAATACCATAGGTATTACGTACGTAAAAGTTAGCCCCATATTAATAAACGAAGAATAAGCTTGGATTAGTCTATATTTTGTCTCTGTTCAATGAATTACAAATGACACTTGATATAAACAAAACACGGCGTAACTAATTTATTCTTATCCTTTGTTTATTAATAAGGGTATAACGGTCTATCTACTTTTAAGCATAACGCACCTCCGGTGTGACACTGTCACTTATGCAAAAACTATTTTTTTTCAGGATGAGCGTTTAAAACTTTAACATCCCAAAATATACAATATTTAAAGATTTTTATGTGATGAAAAGCTTATACATCTTAGCTATTCATCTAAATAAAATTTAAAAAAAACTTTAACATTGTATGTTTTGGGATGTTAAAGTTTTGAACGCTTCTCCTGAAAAAATGTTTTTTTTGCATATGTGACAGTGTCGCACCGGGGCGGGGTGCGATAATGTGCACTCGCTTCGATAGTTTGGAGGAAACGTATTTATTTATTTTGGCTAATCAAACGATTTTCTCCTATGCAGGTAATGTAAATTTTTAAAGTTCGTATAGGTACTGAAGAAGTATGAAAATTATAAAAATGCTTATATGTATCTTCTTTCCCTCTTTTTTTGATAATAAGAAAAACCAAACATCAAGTTATTAAATTATTATAATACGTATTTGTGATAAGAAACGCTTTACATAACGGTCTTAGCGTCCAAAACAGCTTCCGGTGAGGTTGCGTTGTTGCTCTCTGCCATGGATGGACACACCAGCACCTTGGAGTCGCCGCAGCACAGTGGCGCCTCCGCAGTTATGTTCGTGTACGCCCATGGGTTGTCGCAAATCTTGGCGAACGCGGACAGCTGGAATTTATATAAATAAATAATATGAACGTCCTCCGTAGTCGAGATGGTGCGTTCGGTCTGCTTGGTGGTGGTGGACAAAAAATGCGCCAACCAAACAAAGGTTTGCGATCGTGGAAATTACGCAACTTTTGCTATGGCTGGTTATCGGATGGGCGACCAAACTTGCATTATTTTGAGTTCTTCCGTGCTTCAAAAGGCACGTCAATTCATTGACATTTGCTGCATCTTCAGTCTTTAGCACCCCCCAATTCGCACATTTGCCCATTCCAAGGGAAAGGCCTGTGCCCCTGCCGTAAGGACATTAAAAGGAAGATGATGTGGTGGAGTTGCTTGCACACCAACTTCATAGCGTCGCCACACATGCGTCCAGTTCATAAGTTTGCTAATTATGCAATGGTGATGGTATGGTGATTCTTGTTACATTACAAACCTACTAACTGTGGCATAGTTAGAGGATCATTTAAATAATCTTAGCCGGGATTTATGTTATTGAGATGAAGTTTGATCTGTTTTGATGAAATCATTGAAAATTAAATGAACTGTTGTTCCTAAACTTATATATGTCAAATTTGTGTCTCCAAAAACATTGATACGAATTACCTTTAGCTCATTGGCATCTTTGAGTTTATTGCAAAGTATCTCGGGTCCCTTGGCTTTGGTAGCGGTGGCTAACGCGTTGCATAGGCTTTTGCAAGTGTTCTGCCCCTCTTCATCACATTTCACCACCAAGCCCGGCATTTGAGAGAGTAGGGGCTCATCGGTCGCTGCTGGAGTGTTCGTTGGAAAACCACCACAAGAACAATTCCCTTTTACACCGGTGTCTGCCGTTTCCGAAGCACTGAAAGAAAGTTCCTATCAATTTCTCGTACATTTTCCAGATTTCAAAACAAAAGGTAGGTATTGTTGTGTTATCTGAGATACCTTTATATACCTAAGGATATTCCGTGAAGATGGAAAGTTTCGGAATGTAATATCAAAGTTTACCCTCTTGTATTTTGTAGCCCTTCACATAATATAATGATGAGATGTTATGAAGAAACCTTTAATTTACACACACCAGGAATTACGTTAACTTCAGAAAGTCTCTTAACCTACCTGAGTTTTTCCTCTGCAAAAACCACCAGCAGTCCTAACAGCGAGATGATGCAAAGGTCGTAGACGACTTTGAAGGAATACATAATGCTGATAAGTAGTTGCAGATTGCTCGACTGGTGCAGACTAGTAGCTGACCCAAACCTTTATACTGTACGTGTTTTCGCTAAGGGTGACCATGGACGGAATAACGACGGATATAGTCGGGACAGTTGGTGAGACTAAGCATTCAAATTTACCACAAAGTGCTGCGTGATGGCAGTGTGTCTGCAGCGCTGCAGTTGCACTGCCGTCGCTAGGTTTGAGAGTCGTAGTAATAAACTAATCCGCGGCGCACATGTCTTACCGTGATTATTTTGAGACTAAGCTAATTGGTGTGAGTAATAAAAATATGTATTTATTTAATAAATAAAGAATGGCGTTGTATAACCAATAGGTCATAGTTACGACAAAAAATGTGGTTCTTCTTTTTAGAAGCGAAAGGTTAATCATCAATAATAATTTATGTATTTTTTTTTCTTTTATTATGGAACGGCTTAAATCATGGGCACACTATTGTAATTCGACTAGAACCTACTGTTATGGATTAAAGTGATCGATGTTGTTATCGTTACACTACTTATACAATGCGTCGTTCCCAAGACGTGCGTTTTTGTTTAAGAAACCAGGTGCTTAGTAATCGACACGAACTTGTAATCCACGGAAACTTTTCTACACAACACTGTGGACACCTACGTATAACGTCCATTTGCTAATTAATAAACAACTTTGTGTTACATCTTAAGTAAGTGGGTTCCTTGCTTTGCTTAGGCACAAATCAAACGAAGAAAGTCAAATCTTAGCAAGCCTGAATTTAAACTTCGTATTATTGTTAAGATTGAAGTTTAGTGATATTTCTCAGTTGTACGTTTTTAATTTGGAGCAGGGTGGAGTAGTCAAGATATCTACTAGGTACTTTTACCCCAAACCCTTCGTCTCGTCTCTCTGTTGGGACTCACAGACCAATAAGGCGTTTTGCAGACGACGGGGCGGGGCGGGCATTTTGTCCGCGAAGCAATAAAAACCGCGTCTGCAGTGCATATAAACTGGTTTGTATGATCCAAGGCGGGCAGCCGCGGACATGCCGCGCCGCCAGTGCCCGCCGGGCACCTGCGGCGTGGTCTTTTTGCCCTCTGTGTGCGTTTGTAATATAGGATTCACTTTGTGCTATCGTTCGCGGCGAAATTGACCGGCTCGCCCCGCCCCGTCGTCTGCAAAGCGCCTAAGAGAACAAGTTGTTGTACTATTTTTATAACGGTAACCTATAAAGATTGTAGTACATCTTTCTTAGTTGTGCCTCCAGTGCTTATTGCAGTCTTAAAACAACTACCTATACATTTACTGAATAAATAAATGTGGCACAAAACATAGTTTATTACCTGAAGAATTTTGAAGCATTATATATATCACAGCACCAATTTAATATCTTTGTAGTACCACAAACAACCAGGCCCGAACTCAGTCATCCTAGCCCTAACATAGTCATCGTACGTAACAAGGGTAAATAATCAAATATAACGTTAAAAAAAGTCGAATTAACAACCTGGTCCTTTGATTTGATGTCAGTTAAAAACATTTTATGATATGCAACTGCCAAAATATCTCCAAAAGATTTTGATATTTGAGTATATATATCGTGGTCATGCTAGGGGGCGGAGATAAGTGTCTAGTTGCAGCATGAAAACTGGTGTACAAGTACAAACCACTAGACTATATAAGTCGTAAACCCACAAAGCTAAATTATATAAGTTTAAATATATACAGTACACATATAACTAACTTCCTATTCAGTTCGTACAAACTAAGTACCTACTCATCAAGTAAAAAATCTTAACCAATTTATCAGTCATTAGCCTAAGTAGGTTTTTACTTCAATTCCTAAGTATAAAGGTATCAACATTGTCGACCAACTGTTCTTTATTTATCAACAAGGTTGATATACAATACTATTGTTCAACAAAATGTAATATGTACATTAGCATCTCTGATCGACTACTATTGCAAATTAACTGGTATTTCAATAATAAAACAATAAAGGATTATTTCATATTTTATATTCCAATATTCATTAGTAAAAATACTGGCAGTCTTTACAAATAATATTTGAAATTTAAGTCTACATTGTAAGAGGAACTTGTGCATATAGTCTTATGTCAATACAAGACCAAATAGGCACTGATTACACAATCTTCATTGTTTTATACAAAATATTTATTTACATTTCTACAAGTACCCCACTGTACTGATAATTCATGTCAAAAGATTCAAATTAATTACAGAACAACAAGGAGTAAGTATGAAATTCATTACAATGGTAAGCACAATAATACTCTATAAAAATAATAACACAAATGTGTAATTTTGATAATAGTAGTCACACATTTAGCACTAATCTTTATACATTGTCACACTTTTAGGTTAAAAATTAACTATTATCTTTGGGGAGCAGGCTTTGGCTTTGGCATTTTCGCTAGTAGTCCTTGTATTTCTTTCTTTTCATCATAACTTTTCCACATTTCATACAAATTTATAATGGATCTCACGATTTCTTGAATCTGTAACACAATGAAAAAGTAAAGTCAAAAAGAATAAGTAATAAAGATATTGTTATTTGTGAAATGTGAGTTATACAAGGAAGGATAGTTCCTTTTTATTATTTTTAAAGATTCCCATCACATCATTCATGTGATGTGTATTATACATAGTTTAAAAATTACCTTGTCCATGTCCACATTTAACTCTGCAAACCAACTTTTTTGATTTTCTTTACCTAGCATCACACAGGCTATATGTAATGCTGCTATTGCAATCTGAAAGAACACATTCAGTTCATAACAAATGTATTAGAAGTACAACAAATTAAAATGATTTTATCAGAAATACATACCTGATATGGGGGATAAATCAAGCTCACATCAGTTCTCAAGGAATCATTTACTATTCTCCAAGCATATGTAAGCAACTGGTCATCCTGGCCTATATCTTGGACAAACAATAGTAAAGGTCTGTATGGCTGATACACTATTAGGCAACAATCTAAATTTTCAAGCAAATAGAATTCACATTCTAATATATGATTGGTTCTATAGGGAAACTCTTGCTGTCCATATGCATAGCCAAACTTATTTTTAATAACTGTTTGACACGTCGTTATTAGTCTTGAGTTGGAGATAACCCCAAATTCTTCCACTTTAGAAGCGAGAAACACGCAAGTAGGTGCTAGTAGTAAAGGATCAATGCACTTCAAAGAATTCCTTGCATAGAACCTCTTGAAGTATACCGTTGCTGTCGCTATCACTTGTTGGCGTAGCTTCAATTGCTCTCCCAAAACTTGTATAATACTCGCAAAAAAATTGAATATTTTTTGGTATTCCTCGTCACTTAAAATGTTGAGATCGTGTTGACGGTCTCTAATGAGATCTGTTTTATCTAGAATCCATTGTTGATGATGTGAGCTCTGCCAAAAATTACCTGCCATAATAATCGCAAATATTTACTTTATTTGGTGAATGCAAATATATTTTTATCAAAATAAAGCGTTAGTCAAACTGAAGCGTTTCATAAAAACACATTCGCGATTTTAAAAGACAGTGACAAACGACAGCTAGCTGCTTTTTTTTTTTTTTGTTGAAGTTCTCCCGTTTTAGGGAAGGCAAAGGGAACAATGCCCATACAGCCTAGTCTTTAATTAAATTAATCTTCTTTTTGTTTTTACATTAGAATGTCGGTGTGACGCATTCTAATGTTTCTTGGAGTGTTTGGCACGAAATGTATCGAGTTGGCTTTTTCGATAAGCTTCTGTGAGGTAGTCAACACTACAATAAAATGCTCACGTCCACTTGACCGGAATAGCGTATATTTTAACGATTCCACTAATTCTTCAGTTACGCAGACGGTTGTTACACAAAACCACACCAATTTTCTTTCACAATATCCACTATGAACGAATTTAAGAATAATTAAAATAAGACGCCAACCGCACTCGATGAAATCCCGCCAAAAAACCAAAAAACCACAGCTAGCTGCTTGACGTTGACATTGACACTTGGGGTTTCGTTCAATACCTACGCTTTGAGTGCAACTTTTTACCCAAAGGCCGTTCAAAATCTTGGAGTGACAGTTTATTTGACAGTTGGTTGTCTCAACTCGGTAGTTCCATTTAAGTTCCTTGGTCAACGACCAAAAAGTTGCAACTGTCAAAGGTTTGGAACGCCAAACCTTTGACTGTTGCAACTTTTTAACCGTGTCAAGACGCGCTAGCATCACTAGAGATTCTCTATAGTGATGCTAGCGCATCTTCGGTCTCAACAGTGGGTTAAAAAACGCTCTGCCATCTACAACTGTCATTTCTAACCGCGAACAATTTTAATAATGACACTGGTGTCGATTCTGGCGTGATTCTCTAAATCTAAAATTAAATTTGACAACAGTTTATCCTTGTCATTCTCTATACAGAATAAAAAGGACAGTGAGATTATAAACTTAGTTTTAAGTTTAGAGAATCACGCCAGAATCGACACCATTATGAACTTAATCTGATGTAAATTGTTTAATACCCTTCGAAAAGCTCTAGATATCGATTCTGAATTAATATCAGTCTCTCTTTTTCATTCTGTATAGAATGACAAGGAAACAGTGTTGTCAAATTTAATTTAAGGTTTAGGGAAACATATCAGAATTGACCCAATTATTTTACTTATATTAACTTGCATAAGTGTAATATTAGAAGATGGAGGGCAAACTCAAACTCATTTATTCAGCTTCAGTCTGGGCTGTTACACTTGTAATTAAAATTTTCACTGACACAGACAGAAGCTAACAAATCAAGTATTCATCTAATGTCACGTCAAAGTTCAGTCAACGACAAACATTATTACCATGCAGTTGCACTAGCTTGGTTTGCCGTCTCCTTCAACACGCCCTCTAAAACAAGGCTAGTGCAGACTTCATTTTCACAAAGATAGGCTTCGGCAGTCCTTTGGTCATGATGTCTACGAGTTGGTTCGTTGTTCCAATTCTCTTGACATGTATGGTTCCTTCAGACACAAGTTCTCGCACATAGAAATGTCTGATACGAATGTGCTTCGTTCTTTTATGGAACTCGGGGTTGTGTGCCAATGGTACAGCTGCTTCGTTATCAACGTGAAGATTTGGCACACTCTTCTTCATCGTTAGTTCTTCGAAGATTCTGATCAGCCAGACAAGTTCTCTAGAACCTTCGCTAGCTGCAACAAGTTCAGCTTCTGTAGTTGACAAGGCTACTGACGCTTGTCGCTTGCTAATCCATGACACTGGTCGTCCAGCATATCTGCATATGACTCCAGTGGTTGATCGTCCGGTAGTCGCATCACCACCATAGTTGGCGTCGCTAAATTCTTCTAGTTCTGGCTGTAGTATGGTCTTTGGTCTATACTGTATCCCTAAGGATGTCGTTCAGTTTAGGTAACGTAGTATACGTTTGACTCTGCACCAGTCACTTCTAGTCGGCTTCTCTAAGTTGCGAGACACTACTCCCACAGCATAGGCGATGTCAGGACGGGTTGCGACCATAAGGTATGCTAATGCACCAACGGCTTCGCGATAGGGCAAGTTAATCTCCTCTTTATCTCCTTTCTCTTCATCTAATTGTTCTGCAGTGCCAATAGGTGTTGAGACAGGATTACTTTTCGCCATATTTCAATATGGCGCACGCGTCCAGACAACATGTTGGCGACCAAGCGAAACATATTCATGTTTGGGACTACTTTAAGTAGTTTGAGAAGCAGTCCGTCCCTCCATACTGTGTCGTAGGCAGCAGTCAGATCCACGAAGACGGCACCCGTCTTTAAACCTTTCTGGAATCCCGCTTCTATGTGGGTGGTTAGAGCCAAGACCTGGTCACTACAGCTCCTACCAGTCCTGAAACCCGCCTGTTCTACAGGGATGACCCGGTTGATCAGAGGAGCTATGCGTTCCAGCACTATCCTTTCGAGGAGCTTGAAACAGTTGCTGAGGAGCGCAATCGGGCGATAGCTCGTGGGATCATCCGCTGATTTGCCTGGCTTAAGCAAGGCGATGACTTTTGCCTGCTTGAAGGCCCCTGGCAGAGATTGGGAGTTGAGGATCACAGTAAACATGTTTGATATCCATGTTCTAGCGTGCACTCCGAGGTGAATTAGGAACTCGTTGTATATTCCATCGCATCCAGCGGCCTTCCCAAGCTTTAAGTGACGCACGGCTTTACAGACTTCATCTAGAGTAAACGGTTCGGAAAGGTACGGAGAGTTAACTGTATTTTTCTTAAGCTCACTTAGTAACCGTTTGGTTCTTTTTGTATCCAGTTTATCCCCACGAGCTCTCGAGACGTTGACCATTCTGTTCGCTATCTTGTTTGGATGGATGTCTGAGGAACTAGAAGAAGCCGAGTGGCAATCAGTAAGCTTGTGTAGGATTCTCCAGGCTTTACGGCTTGATCTCTTGAAGTCCATCGATTCTACTGTTTGCTTCCATTTTTTGGCCCTGTTTTCATCTAGAGACTCGAGCAGCTCCGCGCCGATACAGCAATCGCCGGTCTTCTGAAACTCTTTGTAGAGCGTTTCGCTATTTGCGCTCCATCCTGGTATGTACTCCTTTCGGAAGCCTCTACATACATGTTTTTTCGCGGTTTGCAGGATAAGGTTGGCAAAACGGTTGTAGTTCTGAGGAATCGACTTAATCCATCTGACCCCAGCGTCAACGTCACGGGTGAAGGACTCCCAATCGGCGCGTTCGAAGTTCCATCTTGGGAGAGGCATCGATTTCGCGAAAGGTATTTTTAGGCCTACTTCTGTAGTGATTGGTCTGTGTTGGCTGTTCGGGAATTGACGTAGTACCACGCGTTTGGCGGGTAGTGGCCGACCGTTTGTGTCCTTGGTGACAAAAGTTAGGTCAGGGTTATACTCTTTTCTCCAGCGTGCGGAATAAAAGGTTCCTCTATCTTTTGCGTTGAAAACCAAGTACAAGTTTTGGTTTTCAGCCCACTGTGCCAGCTCGGTACCGTTTGCATCGTCTGCATTATAGCGCCATGTGGTATGGTGGCTGTTGAAGTCCCCAGTGTAGATGCAAGGGTGATCAAAGGCGGGCAGGACGCTTGGTTTCCATCTGGCCTGCGGAGGTTTGTACACGTTGACGATCGTGGTGTCTCCGACACGTATAGCTATTGTATAGTTATTTTCTGTCGTGTCTGCACATACAACTTTAGCTTCAGTCAGGTTGGATCTTGCATACGTCGCTTTTGGGGTGATGAAGGGCTTTGACGACAGTGTAATCTGGGATCTGGCCTCTGTTAGTCATATCCTGATCGTCTCTTAAATGTGTCTCTTGGACAGTTAGAATGTCAATATGCTGGTCCTTTAATAGTTTGGCAATATAGTCACATTTGGCTCTACTTATACCTTCTATATTAAGTTGGCAAATACGGATTGAAGATCCGATATCTTTAGTCACGGGGCTCTGAAAAGAGCCGTTTTGCGCATTTGTGGACATTTGTGATTTGTTTGATGATTCCTGTAAGTCGCTGCGAGGCTCTGGGTTCGTATTCGAGTAGTGCAGCGGCCAGTGTTTGCTATTCTTTGGCACCACCCAGGGGACACGTGCAGGGTAACGGTGGGTAATCTTCCTGCGGACGTGAATAGCAGTCGTCCCCCACATGAATAGCAGTCGTCCCCCGAAGATCGGTACATCTTCTCACTAGCAGCAACGCTTAGTAATGAGCGAATGGTTGCAAATCTGGCTACAGGACTGTAGGTTTCCTGATAGTCAACTCCTTTGCCTTGTTTGAATCCCTTTGCAACCAAACGTGTTTTGTATTTCTCTATAGAGCCATCCGGGTTTCGCTTTATCTTGAAAACCCATTTGCAAGGTATGGCCTTTCTGCCTTGAGGTAATTCTTGAAGGGACCACGTATTGTTCTCTTTAAAAGAATCTATTTCTATCAGCATTGCTTTTATGCACTCGTCTTTATACGGGCTCTTCATAGCTTCCTTGAACGTAGTGGGTTCAGCTTCGTCATCGGAAAGTGCACAACAGTCTCTGTATCTCTGTGGGTGACGAATGGTGCTTTTATCTCATAGATTATCTCAGTTCCGGTGAGTCATCTTCGGAATCAGATGAATCTTCTAGATTTGTGTCGTACCGCGTTACATTGGGTGTCGTTGGTCTGGACTGTTCACCATCATCGGGGCTGGGTGGTCTAGATTGTTCACCAGCGGTGGGGCTAGGTGGTCTGGACTTCACCAGCGGAGTGAATATCCCGGTCAGGATAAGAGTATCTGTCTTCCTGCAGTTGTGGTGCACATCCTTGATTCTGCATATCAGTTTCTGATTGCTTATTTTGATGGCTTGGGTTCGAGATTGGATCTTGATGAACATCTTTGCGCTCTTCATTAAAGGTTACTCTCAACTCGAATTCGTTGACCGGTGTTTCCTTTTTCGTTGTCGTAGGTACAACTTGGTCGCATTGAGTTCGGTCAAGTGGTTTCTCGTCGAAGATTACGTCTCGCGATCTCATCAATTTGTTGTCGTCGCACCAAATACGATAGCCATCTTCTAAATCGTATCCGACTAGTCTTTCTTTGAGGGCTTTAGGGGAAAGCTTCTTTCGTTTCTGCTTGGGGACATGGACGTAAGCTGTGCAGCCCAAGATGCGTAAATGTGCGATCTTCGGTTTCTTTCCATGCCAAAGCTCATAGGGCGCTTTGTTCTCCACTCGAGATTGCCCAGTTCGGTTGAGAACGTAGGCAGCCGCGTTGACTAACTCGGCCCATAGCTTCTGCACGAAAGCTCCGCTTTGCATGACAGTCCTGGCGGCCTCAACCAGGGTCCTGTTATCTTTCTCGGCGCATCTTGATTATCAAATTCGCCGCCATTATCGCTCAAAAGCGTTTCGATTGGACGTCCAGAGTTTCGTGCTTTGGCGATGAAATCTTTCAACTTTTATTTTACTTCCGATTTGGCTTTCAGGAAGTACACATATCGATAGCCAGTGAAGTCATCCTTAAACAGCACGAAGTATCGCAAGTTTGTGAATGAATTGGGGAACGGTCCACATACGTCGCTGTGTACGAGCTCTCCTGGTCTTGGGGCTCGAAGTCGCGTTACAAACTTCAGACGATGGGATTTGCCCAGTATGCAGTTTTCACATACTGTTTCATCTTGAGGAAGATTTATTCCCAACTCCTGTTTCACAAATTGTCGAACATGACGTTTATTCTGGTGAACAAAACGTTCATGATACAGTTGAGTCCATGTAAGGGTAAGATATACTTCCAAATTTCTTTTGGGTATAAGCCACCGCTGATGCTGCGTACACCTATCAGCTTTACTATACCACGCATCGACATGGAGCAGCGCGTTGGTGTCGACTCGAACTTCGTTGTTGAGTTGCAGTCATGAGCAGCGAGGACAGAGAAGAGGTTCTTTGTGATCTGTGGCACGTACAACACGTCCGACAGGATGATCTCGTAGACTTTTCCTCGTACCTTCGATTTGAGGCTGATGTTTCCTTTGCCTTTGGCTTGCAGTGCATTTCCATTAGCTGTGGAGATCATGTGCGTCTCGTCGAATGGTTGGAAGGTCTGGAATAGATCGCTGCGATAGGTAACGTGGCAGGTCGCACCGTTATTAACAAACCAGTTCACTGTATCTGGTGTAGACACAAATACTTCACCATGTTCTGATGTCAGGACTTCCGTAACTTGAGACTTTTGCTTGCGAGACGACGAAAAGGAAGGTGGGTGGTGGGTGGGTGGTTTTTCGGAAGTTTTCCATCCCGAATCCACTTAGGACAGGCCTTGACGCAATGGTCTTTGCTCGAGCAGTATTTGCACCACTTGCGGTTATTTCGCTTCTTGTTTGTCCCACTATGTGTGTTCATCGCTGGTAAAGCTTCTTGCTCCGGTGGCTCGGTGGACACCATCAAGTTCCTTTCGAAAAGACACAGGCGATTGGTTAAGTTTTCCACGTGTTTTTGACGTCGGCCACAATATCCACCACCACTTTTGTATGAGTTGTATTCTTCTCCTAAAGTGTCGAGTATTTTGCATATGAGAAATAGATCTGGTAACTTCTTGCCATCACCCAGCTCTTTGTTGAGAGAAGTCCATATGTTCTTCAGCTTTGATAGATGAGTAGCTGCGTCATCAGCTTTATCTCTTTTCATACCGAAGAAACTCATACAAAGTTGAAAGGTTCGATCCTCGTTTGTTCCGTCGAACATCCTGTGTAACTCAAGCCAAATATCTTGTGCGGTTGTGTATCTCATAACCTTTCTGAGCATTTCTTCCGTCATATTATTGGTGATAACGAAAAGAGCACTTGAGTCGTCTTTGGTAAAATCCCTAAAATCCGTAGCTGCAGACCCGGTAGCTTCACTTCCATTTTTGTCAACCGATGACGTGAGTCTGCCTTCTAATACATCTAGGGCACGAGGGATGCTTTCAGAATGATCAGAATCTTATATTTCCAGGTGTCCCAGTTCGCTTTTCCTCCAAGAGGAGCGATCTTGTAATTGAAAGTTAGAGTTTCCATATTTTAATAAAATTACAGATGACCCTTAACCACTTGTAATTAAAATTTTAACTGACACAGACAGAAGCTAACAAATCAAGTATTCATCTAATGTCACGTCAAAGTTCAGTCAACGACAAACATTATTACCATGCAGTTGCACTAGCTTGGTTTGCCGTCTCCTTCAACAGTTACAAGCTCTTGTGAAAGTCAAACGGTACGCCATCGGTTCGTAAATCTACGGCGGGAGATCTTGTACTGAGAAGAACCGGCAAGAAACTCAGCAAGGGCTATTTTTTTCTCCCTGTTTTGTTTCATACAGTGTCGTCATTGGAAAGATGACATCAAAAATTTTAAACATGTGTTGATGTCAACTTCCTTAACAAAAGTTAAGTATAGCTAGGTACTATTTTTAAATTTAGAAGTGGCGTTTAAACAATTTTCAACCAAATTAGCAAAGTATAACGACTAATTCTATTATATTAAGCAGAAGGTGACTTATCATTTATGAAATCTTTAACAGCATAGTAAGCTTTCTTATGGGGACATGTTTTTATTTATACACACTTTAAACTTTTTCTCGAAAACGGTAAGTTTTGTCGTGAACTCGTGAAAGTAGGTCAGACAAAAGTTGTAGACCATACAATTCTTTACAAAAATGGTCTGGTCACTTTTTCTCTCACGACTCACCATTCGTGAGATATCGTGGTTTTAATAATTAGAAAATTCATTTTTACATATGCACACATTCTGCACTACCAATGAGGTAATGTACTTGGCGGATTTTTTTCAAAGTTTTCCCCAGCTGTAGGTATGCTCCACGATGTATTATAATAAAGAAAGTTTGATTAGATCGTATCCTATTGATTGATAGAATGGTTATATTGCTAATGATCAAAGTGGAATAGATTGTTTTCTTCTAAATGCTATTAAATTACATAATTGTCTAGCACAGGATACAAGTGTTGAAAGGCAGAAGCAGATGTTGGAGGCAGACAATACCACTGTACTGTTTTATTGTTCCATGCAGACTTATATCCCATAGTAGGCCTCAGAAAGATATTAGAAAAGTTATTGTGGTACTTAGCTTTAGCAGTAACTAAGTCATACTCAATATGTAAAATATGAATTTTCTAATTATTAAAACAGCGATATCTCACGAATAGTGTAGTGTACTTGGCGGATTCATAGTTGAAAAAAACCCACATGTACATTACCTCATAGGTGGTGCAAAAATGTCATGCGATCCTACTTTTGCAAAAAAAAATTCACGGTCAAACGTACAAAATTATGTTTTTTTTCCATTTTTCTCGAAACGGTAAGTTTTGTCGTGAAAATAGGTCACACAAAAGTTGTAGACCATACAATTCTCTACAAAAATGGTCTGGTCATTTTTTCTTCGTGAGATATCGCGGTTTTAATAATTAGAAAATTCATATTTTACATATTTTTTTTGCAGAAGTAGGATCGAAGAGGATTTTAGACATTTTAATGATGTACCTAAGTATTTAACGTCTATGCTTATTTTCAGCTCTATGCGAATTATCAACGAATTGTCCCTAAGTTATGACTTATTTTTGTCTATTTTGACTGGACTATAGAGATAATTAACTTGTCCACACAGTCAGTAGTAAGAGCATGTAAAGAGCCATCTGAAAACAAAAAGGATGAAGATGAAGATTTTACTGATTTCTGTACACAAGTCATTGCCTACATAGCAGGCAATGTGGTTCATGTCCTAATTAAAAAAATTGAATGCGATATTTTCCCTAGAGCCCTAATATCAGATTCAAGTAATAATTAACATAAATTTATTTCATTAAAAGATAAAGGTGGCGTGATATATCCGTCCGTGGTGATGTTATAAAAAATATGCAAAAGTGCAGAAACTGCAGATAATTTGAAAAATGTCAAAAAAGAAATTTTAGTCCCACAAATATAAAAAAAGTTTATTGGCACTTCATTATTTGATGACATATCATTTCATCACGTCGGTGAATTCCCATAATCTAACCACGTAACAGATTCAATTAAAGTGGTAATTGAAAAATATATAGATATACGTCTATATTTCTTTTGAAAAATAACTATAAAAAAGAAACAAAGCGTCACCTTTTTCATAAATATATATATTGTTTCAAGGTCAATAAATAACTATATGTAGTAATGCGTTTTACTGAATTTGACAGGATACAAAAAAATCCATACAGTCAAGTCAAGTCCAACTCGCACTTGGCATATTTAATATCGATAATATTTCATCGACTCAATGTCAACCACTACCGCTAAAATCGATGTAAACGAATGAACACTCACAGTCACGGTTGTGAGCGCTGATTTGTTCGGTTGCTTGATGTCGCGTCGTTTGATTGGCTTATTATCTTTTAGGTGGAAGTGTAGTGGGGGCGAGCCGGCGACATCGGTTCTCATATACTGGCGATCGCTTATCACCCTTCTAACCTCTTTCTGTGTTCTGTGGGTGGAGTGGAAGCATATCCTCAGACAGGCCATTATAACATGCTTGTTTGTTAAGCTACAAATATATTTCTCTGTCGTGATCTGTCGTGACGCGTCAGAGCTATCGGTTCCTATATCTAGAAGTACGGTTAAAATTATATTTGGTGTGTCACGAAATGTCGCGATATGGTTGCAATGTGTCGACACCGTTCTCACTCAAACCGTAGTAAATGTATGAAACCAATAGCACTCTGACGCGTCACAACACAACACGACAGCGAAAAAAGTTGCACTATAGAGAAGAGTTGTTTTATAGCGATAAGTAAAAAAACTAGAAATAACATTTGACTAAAAAAATATTTTTAATATACTTTTTATTGTTTATTGACAAAGGTATATACTTTTACGTTAATACACATAAATAAAAAACAAAAATGCACATATTCGATATTATTTTATTCCAAATCATTTTTTACTTAGCCCAATATATCTGAGAGTGTGTAATCTTTCAGAATATCGTTAATAGTGTCAAATAATTGTTCACTTAAAAGCTGGCTCACGTTCTCCATTTCGTTTTGGATTACGTCTTGCGTGATGCTCTGTACAAAAGAGTTGATCAAGGCGTTGAGGATACTGGAGCCGGTCATTCCCTCGATAGAAATCTTGAACAAACAAAAAGTTATGTATTATTTTGATGACTATAGAAAATTCAGTGCTGTAACGCCCGCAGCATAACGGCCTCTTTGCTTATCTTGCCAACGGCTGGCAGCTATGCTTTGTAAATAATAATTTGAATATAATTGATAATGAATATAAAAGAAGACAATCTTAGGCCCGCTGCCGAATTTCTCACGATATGATTGTGATTAGAATATAAAATATTTGATGAAAAAGTGAATGATATAAGAAGTACCTATAAGAAAACTGTGTTTGATTAAGAGTGCCCCTGCCTACGCTGCCTAGTAATTCTCCATAGTAGGAGAATTGCTATATGGTAGAGGCGCCGCCGGGTATCGAAAAACCTCACATGCCAAGAAAAAACAATGCAGTTATTCAACGGAATATCGGATGACGTATTTGATTTCTTTGAATAATTTTGTGTTGTAGCCGCGATCAACATTTTTGACGATAAAAAAGAAAGAAATTGGTGCACGCAGTGTATTTAACGAGGCCTGCCCTACTGTTTTTTAAGAGAATTTTCTTTCTTAACATCAGGTGGGGTGGAGTCATTTTTCGAACCTATCTATAAAAAAAAACTATTTTCAAATGCTTCGATAGAATGGGCAATAAGCAGAAGTGGTCTACAGGAACGATCGTCTTCGGGAGCTTTTCCGGTTTGGGAACCATTTTTATTTGTGCTGTGTAATATATATTTTTTTAATTTTAATACACCTAATGTAGTCTTACAACTAAGAAGAATTTAACTGCACCTCTTAAGCCTAAAGCACTTAAACCGTTCAGGCCATAGAGCGTGCCAAAGAAAAATAAAAAGGTAGACTTGAAAAACATAACTATCTATTCGGCGAAGGCATGTCAAAAGGGCCCCGCAAAGATCTGTTGCCCGGGGCCCCGCAATTCTGAAGGTCGCCCCTGGGGCGAAACGTCATAGGGCAGTGTGTATTAAAGGTTACATTGTGACCCTTGTTACAATACACTTTCCCCAGTAACAGTTGACCTTTTTTTTATTTGTGTCCGGAAAAAAGAAAAAAAAAGTTCGACTGTTACTGGGGACAGTGTAATGTAAAACACAAGGGGCACAGTGTAACCTAACCATCTAAGTTAAACTACCTTATTTAGAAATTTGTACTTACGAATGTATCGTGAATGTCGATTTTTATATCAAGCTGCCTTAGGAATAGATGTCCTCCTGCTAAACTTGTGCCCAATCTCATGTTAAGTCCAAAAATTATACGATGTGCGAATACCCTGAAATAATTAAATTATTACTTCTTATAATAAACTGCTAAGTTCTTTTATCTCAAACTAACTAAATCAATAAATTTGTCCAGGTACAAGGCTGGATTCAAACCCGCAACTTATGCAAAACATTTTTTCTAGTCTGCAATGCAGTGCCATTTGTTGCTTTCGATTGAAGTATTGTAATTGCAGTTTAGAAGCTATTTTGCTGCTCAAGCCAAAATAAAATGGAAAAATAAAATAAACTTTTGAAATTACCTGAAGTTACCTCCAGCTCTATGGCTAATAAGTGTGATTCTAGCCCGGGCATCGTAACTTCCTGTGAACATATAGATAGGATAAGGTTCATAAATTTAATATACGTACTTCATCATCCTCATCGTCAGCCTTTAATGTCCCTACTGCTGAAGCACAAACCTTCGCTATGGATGGAATAGGTAGATTGGGCCATGACCCACCACGCGGACCCAGTACGGATTAGCGGGTGCTAACTACTGCAGATGCAGCCGGGACCAACGGCTTAACGTGCCTTCCGAAGCACGGAGGAACTCGAGATAGAAGATTTTTGGTCACCCATCCAATGACCGACCACTGCGAAAGTTGCTTAACTTCAACGATCGCAGCTGAACGCGCTAACCACCTGCGCCATCGAGCTCCTCAACGAACTACGTACTTAGTGAAGACCTAATTAGGTACCTACTAGAAACAATTAACACGTTGAATTGAACCAGCAGTCCTTGTCTATCCGAGCGAATGGACTGACCATGGATATATAAAAAGATAATTAGGGTAAATGTTTACCTAAATAAAAATAAAATACAAAATAGATTTGCAAGTTTTTTGTTTATATTGGTGAACAGCAGTCGGTCGAGGCGATTAGGTCGTGTAGCTCCAAACCACGATCCTTTAATGGAAAGCAGACTTTCTGCTTAGTTACTTAAATCTATAGTTTTTTCCGTTCACTTTTCGCTTAGTTTACAAAAATAAAATTTATTTTTATTACCTAACTATATATTTTTTTTAGAATACTTGCTTACATTTTTGGGGATAAAATATTTTATTTTTCATTAATTATCTTGCAGCTACTAAGGGCGCTTTCAATTTATGCGTTTCTTGACGGCCTGCTGCGGTACCGGCGCTGCATTGTTGCCGCACCGCGCGTTTTGTATGAAAAAAAAGGATCGTCCGTACGCTGTACGACAAACGCACCGCTTCGGCACCGCAGCAGGCGGTCAAGAAACGGATAAATTGAAAGCGCCCTAAGAATCTGTGTAGAGCACTATGTCGCGTTTAAAATACTGCGTGTTAATTAGAAAAATACGAATTTAACTTTACCTGTGACAGTTATCCTCGGAATGGTGACTTGTACACCAAGTAATAGGCGGAGTGGGTTGAATGTAATGTGATCAACGACAAACCATCGCAAACCTTCCACCCTTAGATTGCGAATTTCTGCGGTAGCACGGACTCTGGTAAAGAAAAACCTTTGCTTAATTTAAGTACAGACAAGTTAACTGATACCATAACTTACGCCTCACAAATAAAGTTTAAAAAAAATCTGAGCCTTACCCCTAAACTAAAATCTCAAATTTTAATTTTGAAACACTTTCAATATTATTATTTAAATATCCCAGGAGAATGTTAAAAATACGGACCTACTGAATTTTAACCGGATAGCTGATTTACAATAGAGTTGGTACATTTGCCGACCTCCGTGGCCGTGTGGTTTGTACGCCGGGTTTCATGGTGTCGCCGACTCGAGAGGTCTCGGGTTCGAATCCCGGTGGGGGCAGATGTTTGTGTGATGAATACGAGCAATTTGTACTCCAGTCATGGATGTTTAATATGTTTATTTCTATTTAAATATACTTATATATGTATTCTATCCGTTACCCTTGTATCCCATAGCACAAACCTTGCAGTGCTTACTTTGGGGCTGTTATTTATTATAATATTAATAATATAATATTTATTATTATTTCCATAGTTAAAAGTCCAGGCATAGACGAATTGCTCAAACAAAATTTTATTCACCGTTTATCACCTTTACGATCAGCCTTTAAATGTCCCCACTGCTGAGGATCGGACCTTCCATAAATGGATGGATGGATGGAAGAATGTAGCCATAGGAAAGTTAGTTCATAGGATTTAGTACCCATAATATGAACTAATGATAGGAGTATAACTTCAAAAATGTCGAATGTCCTATACATAAACAAACTTTCATTCCCATTTCAAACCCGCAAAGGCATTGAAACGGATCGGGTTTAACTGTCGACATACCAAATTAAAACCCCTCTTAGTTCAGAAATTACAAAGCTCTATAAAAACTACCCATTATGGGGGTGTTTCTAAACAACTTTTCATAACTAAAGACTCCTTCTCATATTACTCCAAATATACTAGGTAGTTTTCGAGATTTTAAAGGACATTGCTCGTTCCCCATACATTGAATGCCCTATAACGCCCAGCAATGAGAAAATGCTAGTTGTGTTCGGAATCATTCATAAACTATAATTAAGCATTTGTTGAGATACGGACAACTTGAGGAACCGTGGCCCACTACAGAATGTATTAGATTTTGAGGTTATAATTATTATACTTAATCGTAAAAGATGTACACTTTATATATTCTGAATAGATTCAGTTTTTACCTCTATGTAAGCACTTAAATAATATGCATTAAATGAAAATAAAATGCAATTAATAATAAAAATAATAAATGCTTAATATATTAATATTGATTTATGAGTGTTGTCAGTTGGCACCTATGATACCTATACCTACCTGTAGTAGGTAATAATAGATTTCTTTTCAAATGAAATGTTCAGTCTTTCCATTTACCTGTTTCTATATTTTACTATCGGTAATTAGGTATGTAACTGGTTATCAATATGATTTTCATAAAAATAAACAGATATTACATGGGATGGGAGTATAAACTATCTTTACATAATTTCAGAAATAATCTTTTTATAAATATAATATAAATACTAGCAATAAGTATTATTGACTAAGGTACCTAGTTCTATTTTTATGGTCGCCTATATTGCATTTATTAAGGTAAACAATCTTGGCACAACTTTTTAACAGAATCACCCGTTTAATAATAAAATATTAACGAAGCCAATAAACTAGTAAAATAAATCGTTATTATAGACCGAAACCTATTGAATCTAGTTATAAGTTGATTTTTAATTCTGTATTTTCAATAAAAAGGAGTGCCAAGTTGGATGAACAGACTGTAGTATCTAGTAACAGAACTTTTATTTTTTATTTTCTTAAACAGGTTGTCCGTTTTGAATGATTAATTGCTAATAAGTTAAAAAAATAATAGAAAAATAATAGTGAAGGACATTCTTTTGGGCATGCTAGGGCCGATTTCGTCGATGTCCTTTTGAATAAAATATTGTAGTAGGATGAATGCCCTTTCAGTTTTATACGTAAGTATTAGGTATCGTGGCAGAGTGAATGCACAGAACACAGAAAGAGGTGACTGTATATTCACACACAAATGTACTCTTATGATGTTTAAATTAGAATTCATAGTTGTGTGTCCTACGCTAAATAGAAATATAAATAATTAAAACAATTAAAAAAACACGAGTGCCGCTAAAAACGCTACTATATTTATATGTATTTGATAAGTTCTCATTAAGACATTTCAAATGATACCTTTATTGTACCTAATAATTAGAATACTTTTTTTATTGACCGCAATATCAAATAATAAAAAATGGCAAATAATTGTCATTTTGACATTGCTGTTATTTAAATTTTAACTGTTTAGGTGGCCTCTATGTTACCCGGGATGGTGAAAGGATTCCTACGATACCACACACATCTAAATCGGTTCAGGCTTTTAGAAGTTATAGTGGATTAAAGAATTGTACATACATGAACGCTGAATACATTACACTCTTTTCTTTGGGCTCGTGTAAAAATAGCGATATGGTTATATCGCTCAAATATGTTATCCTTTGAATTACACTCACCCGAGGGCTGTATATAAGAAGGGTCCGATTTGGTCGATTACAAACGGATCTAGAGGAGGTATGTTGTCGTTTCCATTGACAATAACATCTCTGAAACCTTCTAGGGCATCATTGATGATTTGAGCTATAACATTACGTTGCTGGATGTCCAACGAACTGAAATATTCTGCGATGTAATCCTCTGTATCGCTGTCCGGTGCCAAAGACGTGTACAACTCCAAGTCTTTCAAATTACGAACTGAAGTAACTCCTAAAAGATAAATGAAATTCTTAAATATCGAAAAGTTTTGTCAATTATTCCGAAAATGTCTAATATGGGTGGTGTACAGGTTATCAGAGTACTAGATCTGCTAACGCAAACTTAGCAATAAATGTAATGTAAGATATGTATTGTTATAAATCAGTGCAGTGCTTGTATAATTTGAATCTTATCGAAGATATATATATCATGTCATTTATTTTTTATTAAAAATCATCCTTCTTAGGGGCCTACACTTGTTCCGTACAATTTTAGTCCTTCGAGCCGGGTGGTATCTGTTAGATCAGCTTATTATATCATAGTTATCACAATCATAAAATAAATTAAAGTTAAGATTTGAAGAACTATCTTGCATTTGCTTTTCATGCAAGAAACTGAAATTTGCAATATTATATGTCAAACAATATAATTTATAGGAGCCCAAGCGCCAGCTGTCGCAGGCTCACGTGCATCAGATTCAGAGTCTACTCTGACTGGCAACTTTCTCGGAATCTGGAGGCACGGATTCTCTCAGATATATATCAGGGAAAAGTGGCTGCCCGAGAGAGGAAAAAGAACCACCCATTCCTATGTGTCCCGGGGCATCCTCGATTCTCCCCCTCAGAGCAAGACCGTTCGAATCAGACAAGAAGGTACCACAGTATAAAGTTGCGGTTATATGCGTAAGGGTTCTCGTGGCCTCGTCCAGTTGGTAAATAATTTGCCACCTCGACTCGCCCCCATTCGCCCGACGGCGACGCCCGAACGGGGCCATTGTTGGGTTTTAGTGGGTATATAGAAAGTCCTTTTGGGCTAGCTTCGTTGGTAAACTGGAGAATTTATAAATGAACCCGTCAACATCTCCCGGAGGAGTCAATGCATTTTTTCAACATTAATAAAAGGTCACTGTCCAAAGACATATCGCCACTCAAAATCTTGATTATCTTAATGTAAATCAGTGCTCAAGTTTCAGCTCTCAAAAATGATTAAGGATTAATCAATGATTGATGTAGGTACCAATATTATCTCTCTGATAAAAGTAATCAGCAGAAACGTAATTTGCTTAATGCTTCTATCAAAACAAAGGAATATTATAATTTAGATATATTTAGGTTAGGTAGGTACTTAAGTAAAAAACATGTATTTCTTATACCAGTAGATAACACTGATGCGAGTCGAGGCTCAAAGATGGTAGTCGTTTGTTTCGCATCATTCTATAATTTTCAAAGTTATGATAACGAATTGCGTTTTTTTACTCATGTGGTTATGAGAACGCTTAGAAATTATTTATTCAAGCCACTAGTATCATTATTCTAAGTTCAAGGCATTCAGGGGTAATATTGCATGCCCGGCGTGAACGATACTCTTTTTCGTTAATAAAGTAAGAGCCGCCATCGAGGAGCAACCGCAACTGCTCGAGCGGTCCGTGTGCATGTGTATTTGTGTACGTAGAAGACTATAGAATATACGAGTAGGTACCTAGTATCTGTGCACTACTATGCCATGAAATCGCAGCTTGAAGCTAATGATACCGTACCCGCTGAAGAGGATCCGAAAAGAGAGAAACTAGATCAGAATAATAATAATTTAATAAGAATAATAATTTTAGATCAGAAAAGAAAAATTGATAATCGAAACTGCGATAGAATTGATTGATTGATTTACCTTTTGATGTTTTATATTTATTCTAAAAGCACGCATATCACACTAATATTATAAAGGCGAAAGTTTGTGAGTGTGTACGTTTGTTACTTCTTCACGTCTAAACGGCTGGAGCGATTTTAATAAAATTTGATATGGAGTTAGCTGACACCCTACATTAACACATAGGTTACGTATTTGTGCGGGAATATATCCCTAATAAACCGAGGGTAACACCGCGGGGCACAGCTAGTTAGTAAATAAATGTCCTTTAGATGTTTTACATTTACTCTAAAAGTACACCTAATTTGTTAATAATTTGACTTACCATCAAAATAATTGTCGTCTAAATTTAAGGGCGTTGTGTTGGCCAAAGCACAAAGCGATAAGAGAATAAGACAAAGATTTCTCATTTTCTGTAACATACGTAAATTAATGTACATTATTTTAAAACACATTTAAATATCTTTACTTTAAAATAAACAAAATTAAATACTTCCACGTCTAACTTGGTTATAGTTACAATCTGAAGTTAATGATATCGATTTAAGTAAGATTAAATTAAAAAAAAATACTTACATCTTCGATATAGTCTTACTTATGAGGCGGTCACAACTATTTTAAAGTTCATATGTTTTAAAATGTACTTTTATATTGATAATAATCTTAGTAATCAAAAATGCTACCGATTTGTGATAAATTTATTTATCAGCTATTAATTCAGATACACAAACATATATATACAGGGCGTCCCACGGCTACCTCACACGGAAGGAAAGTCTAATAAATATTGAAGATAGGATATTTTACTGAAAGAAGACATCATTTTATTTTTAATAATAACTAGATCTGCATTCACAGATTTTTTTTAAATCGCCTGCTGCATCTGGGTGACAAACTCATGAAATTCCGAAAAAAAATACAACATATTTGGGGACGCCCTGTATATCATTATCATTACCTTTGTTACTTAGTACTTAGTTCGTAACATAGTAAGTACCCATAGGACACACCAGAAATACCAACTAACTCAATACTTGTACCTATTGTCTTAATACATCCAACTTGAATTAACACTTTGAAATACTCAGTAAAGATATCGAAATGGTTACAATGGATTAGAAATGTCATGTCGCTCTGTGATCGATCAGAAGGTAAGAGCCTTCATACGTCTCTACATCGCATAGATCCTATAAGGATGATGACGGGTTGAAACGAAATTAGTTACTTATATTTTGTCTGTCAGTTAGATTATTTATCAAAATTAATGGACGCGTATGTTTTCTTTTGTCAATTAACCAGAAAATGACAAAAAGGCGCGTCAAAGTTTGGGAGTGGAAGCTCGTGGCAAGAGCGACATTTTATTTCAAATCAATATAATGCTGTAATCTTTAGATTATTTGCATAAAGAAAAAATAAGGGCTCAATACTTTTTTAAATATACCTGATAGACAAAGAAAAAAATGTTAGTAACATTATACTTATTCCATGCGGAGTAAATAAACGGTCAGTTTTGGAGTCGGCGACTATATTTCATCGTTCAATAAAAAAACATACGTTAGGTGAAATAAAAATTGTATTAAAAAATTAAAAATTTTAGGGTTCCGTACCTCAAAACGAGAAAACGGAGCACTTGGTTGTCCGTCTGACTGTCAATAGTCATCAAAACCCTTTATCAGGGAAAAGCGTGAAGGTGTAGATTCAAAATTTAAAACATACTCAGGTCTGGTCCCTTGAAGCTGTGAAAAATCAAACTTCTAAGTTGACCTACACTACGGAACCTTTGGTGGACGACTCGCACTTATCCGGTTCGTTTTTGCTTAGAGTAACAACTCTACCAACCTCACAAAGCATAATTTGACCTATTTGTAAATTTAAACTATTGGTCCCTACTTTAGTAGTAACCAACTAACAACGAAATCCAGTTTTGTTTTATTAAACGGGATAAAGAAAATACGATAAAACCTTTGGGAAAGTGCACGTTTTAATCCGTAAACTATTATATTTCATAAACCCGGATCCGTTTCTGGTGCAATTGTATAGTCGGCAGATAACTTATTAATAATTATGTAACTCATGCATGACATACCTGTGTATTTTCCCATACTAACAATTCATTTTGTCATGTTGATTCAGCCCCATTTTCTAGTACCTATCTGTTGTAGGTAAACGCCCATTTATTAAACAACATAATTATTTGCGTTGCCAAACTGTGATAAATGTTATCAAAGAAGTATGTATTTAACAGTGAAAATACCGCACGAGGCATCTCTTCAACCTAATTACGCTTAATAATAATTTTCAATATTTTATATCTACACTTACCTACTTACTACAAAACTTTGTTTGTAAAATGAATAAACCAAAATACTGGTGTTCACTAGGATTACGCCTGCGATTCAGTACCCCTAACACGAACCATTATCGAATTCGAATAGTTTGCAAACCGAAATGTCAATGTCAAAGGACAATGTTAAAATTGGCCTAAGAACCAACACTAATTTGGCTTCTATGAGAATTCTTAGTATATTTTTTGCGATAATTATCAGTATTTAGATTGTGACGGACACTTCCAGTTAAGTAAGCTAAATTAAAAAGTTAAAAAATAATCTGAGACAATAAATACCATTTTATGTGTATAATCTATGGCAGCGCTGCAAACAAAACACTTTTTCTTCCTAATGCCGGCACTTCACTTGGCTATTCGTATTTGCTATTTTAATGCATGACATCAGTCTGTCCTTTTCATTCCTTATTACGCATGACAAGGATAAACTGTTGTTAAGTGAAGGGCCGGCATAAAACTCGTTGGTCTGTGGTTGTGGTGCATGCAGTTTGCATTCGTAGTAATCTGTGGCATTCGTGCATTCCAAAGGGTACGGCCAGAGTGCACTCAGATTCAGATTCAGATTCTGAAAACAAGCGCGAGAAATAAACAGTGTAGTCGAAGGGTACGGGTGCGGCCAGAGTGCACTCAGATTCAGATTCAGATTCAGATTTCGAAAACAAGCGCGAGAAATAAACAGTGTAGTCGAAGGGTACGGCCAGATTGCACTCCTGATTTAGATTCAGATTCAGACTCAGAAAACAAAGCGCGAGAAAAAGCAGGCAACCTGCTTAGACTACACTGTTTATTTCTCGCGCTTGTTTTCAGAATCTGAATCTGACTCTGAATCTGAGTGCACTCTGGCCGCACCCTACGGCCAGAGTGCACTCCTGATTCAGATTCAGATTCAGACAAAGAAAACAAAGCGCGAGAAAAAGCAGGCAACCTGCTTAGACTACACTGTTTATTTCTCGCGCTTGTTTTCAGAATCTGAATCTGAGTGCACTCTGGCCGCACCCAAAGAGTAGTTTATTATACCGGAAAGTGCATTCTCGTTTCGGATTACCTGTTGTGTGTGTTTATTTGCGAATGTTTTTCCTTTAATTTAACTATTTCAGCTATCTAATATGCCATCGATGTTACCAAAGAGCAGAGCCCTTATTACCAAGTGCTAATGAACCTGTGCCACAACATCCTGAGAGGATCATACGGCCAAATTATTCAAGAACACCTGATAAACATTCACGCTGCATATTTTCACAATATTCATGTGATATACAAATAAATACAATAAACAATATGATACAAATTTTCCTAATAGTTATTCTTTAAAATAGAAAATGAATTAGTTGTAATATTAATTCACTTCAAACTGAGTTCATACTAAATTCATAGGTTGACCTATGTTTCATTGAATATTAAACATAACCTCAAAAAAAAATGTTTTCCTAATAATTGAAGTTCTCAGAAGTGTCCGTCAATAATCTTTGTTTTTACAGTCATTTACTTACGATTTTGAACCTAGAGAATAATATTTCATGACTGTTGGTTCTTAGGCTAACTATGTATACCCGTGACGGCAGCCCCCCTTGTAGTTCTGCCCTGCAAATAGGGGGGCGGCGGAGGGAGCTACACGGGCACGCCCAAGTAGCCCTCCGCAGCGGACGGGGGGGCGGTACGGTGGGCACTAGGCCGCGTACTCAGCCCCCGCGCGCGGGCCTACCCGCGCACGTCTGCGGGGTCCCCGCGATACCCCGGGAGACCCCTGCCGTGGAGCCCCGGCTTGGCCGGGAGGCTGCTAGGTGCGGAGACGCGGAGAATCCCTAAACGGGGATCCCGCGGCTTCGCGCTAAGCAGCTTAGAGGGTATTCGCAGGACTTTTTTAGCGGATATTATACCGTAAAGCGCCCGTAAGAGTTGCGGGGTCTTCGGTGGGCAGCCACTGGGGGGTTCGTAAGACTTGCGGGAGCCAGGTGTGAGGTCCGTTCGGCGGTGTGCCTCTTAAAGGCGCCGTCGTTTGTAAATAGATTTTTTACCTGCGTATTAAAAAAAAAAAAGGCTAACTATGTATGGACGCTGAACAATGTCCTTTTGTATGGAAACTTGAACAGCAGCGCCACAAAGAACGTAACGAGAACTAAAAAGCAGTACACATTTGACAATGACATTTCGGACTCGCAAACGTTACGAATTCGATATTGGTTCGTGCTAAGGGTACAGATCGAAAAGAAAATTAAAGATTCTTGGATCACTAAGAATAGGTAATGTAGGATACAATTCCTGAACAAATTATTAGGTATACAACATAAATTAATTATGTTTTTATTTATTTTTAAGCATTTAACTGCTAGATGTTTAAATTTGGCCCGCGTGGATTTTTTTCTAGTAAACTTTTCTTTAGATTTAAACATCTAGCAGTTAAATGCTTAAAAGTAAATAAAAACATAACTATAATTGCTATTTCTTCTTTCAAATGTTTAATACTTGAAAAACTGGTGGAAAGAACCCCGTGGTCGATGAACACTTTAGTGTGAAATGACAATGACGAATTAAAGGCGATTGTGGAAGCTGATGATACTCAATCTACAGCTGAATTTGCAGTAGCTTTCGATGTTAGCATCAAAATAATACCTATTGGTCCATTTGCGTCAAATTGGCAAGGTAAAAATCTTGAAAAATGGGTGCCCCACGAATTTAAGTACGCGTCATGTCGAGCCTTGCACTGCTCAACAGGCACACAAATGAAGACATATTAAATCGCATTGTTACTTACGACGAAAAATGGATTCTAATCGACAATCGCAAGCGCTCAGCAAGTTGATTGTTACATCCTGGTTCAGTATCTAAACAATACGCCAAACGAATACTGACCCCTAAAAAAGTGATGGTCACTGTTTGGTGATCTAGCGCCGGTCCTAATCTCCAACCAGCTTTGGTCAATCGTTCGGTTCCGCTGCTCTTGCACGACAACGCGCGACCTCATACTGCACACCAGATGGATTCCAAGTTACAAAAGGTAGGGTTGGAAGTTCATCGTCATCCACTGCACTCACCAGACCTTGTCCCTACTTCTACTTTTTCCAGAATTTGTAAACTTTTTAGCGGGGAAAAAATTAATAACCGAGAGGCAGTTCAAAATGCCTTTGCATAATTTGTTGTCTGCCATTCAGCAGTTACGTTGGCAAAAATGCATTGATTGTATGAGTACTTAATTACTATGATTGTTAAAAATTAAAAATATAGAAAAAAGGGCCATAACTTATATCATGAAAAACGACAGTTGGATAGGTAAAGACCTATTAATATACTTACCTAACTTAATCTTTTTGGAAATAAAATATATACACAAAATTGATTTAAAAGGTGTAAATAGGTACTATAATAAGTTATTTTTACTTAAACTAATCTTAATCTTTATCTGTATTTCTTCTGTGCCTAAAACTGTGTTATTCTACGAGCACTACGGTAGGTGGTGGTGTTTTCTCTTCCTCCAACAATCTGAATAGTTGATCCGGCGTTACAATCCTGTTTCCGTCCAGGAAACTGTCCATGGCCGGTACCATGACATTTTGCACAGCTTTCACGATGTCATTATGATAACTCTTTAAGATTGTCGCACCGGATTTATTTAACAACACAGTGATTGTATTTGGAGCGTTTTCTAAGTTTGCCTGCAAATAGAAAAAATGCATGTTTTTGAAGTGGAAACTTCTTTACACGTGGGGTTGTACACTCTTTTTGTATGTGTAAAAAATGTTAAACTCGCGTAAGGTTAATTACGTGGGCTGATCGCATCATGACACGCAATAAAATTGGAAAAGTTGTTGACTTTCAATATATTGGACGAAACATAGTAATATTTTATTTTATCGTATTATAATAATAAGTTTCTATGGGGCCATCCATAAATTACGTCACACTTTAAGGGGTAGGGAGGGGGTCGACGAAATGTGACATCGTGTGACAAGGGGTGGGAGGGGTCCTAAATTTCGTGACGTCACATTTCAAAATATATTAAAATCTAAGTGTTGAAACTATTACTTTACGAAAGCATTAACAACCCAAACGAGAACAAAGTGGTGCTATGCCAGTTATAAATAATTTAAAGGAGTGGGATCAATGTCCATGGACTCAAGATTATTAAGTTTGTATCTTTAATTTAATTATAATGCTATTAATATTTTATGTTTTGTTAATTTCTTTAATTAACATAGTCAATCACTTTTTGTTCGGTAATTTTTTTGTTTTGTTAATTGTTTGATTTGATTATAATAATAATGAAAAAACAATTTAAATGGAAATAAAACTGATTACAGAACCGCTGTTTTCATTCAATGATTTCTAAATGTAAATTTGCAAAATATGTGACGTCACACTAGGGAGGGGGGGAGTCTTACAAATGTGACCAGCTGTGACAAGGACGGGGGGAGGGGCAAAAAATACATGAAATTGGTGTGACGTAATTTATGGATGACCCCTATCTAGGACGTCCACGTGGCAGCTTTATTGCGAAGAAAATGCATTTTTACAATAGATGTCGCTAGGTGCGCTTAAATGTGATTCATGTAAGTTGATTTCTTTACAATAGATGCCACTAAGTGCGCTTAAACGTGATTCATGTAAGTTGATTTTTCTGAGAGATAAACTTTTTTAATGTAATATAAATTGTCATGTTTGTGTACGATAGCGCAATAAATAAATATTGTATTCTACCACATACATGATAGTACTTTTTTACTGATAATTAAAGCAATTAGTGCAAGATTATTCCCTAACCAATCCAAAATATCAAAAATGCACAACGTTAATATTCAAGTTTTCACTTCTGCCGGCACTACCGGAGTGCAACCCGTCGTTTTTTTTTTAATTCTGTAACATAATAGTACTTCTTCCTATTATTTCAAAACATTATTTTTTTCCTTCCATATAGTAATATAGTTTCAAAAACCATCTAAGTATTATTCTCCGACAAGCATATTTTTTTTCTGTAAATCTTCGGTATCATCTCGACAAAAAATACCTAAAATAAAAAAACTGCAATTTTTAAAGAGAAGCCTGCAATGTGCCCCAGCAGTGGGGGACATTAATAGGATGAAAATGATTAAAATCAATGCTCGATGAAATGCAATTTTAATAACGATCTTACAAATAGTTACCATAAAACTTACATTTACGCTGCTTATTTTGAAAGACAAATTGGATGAGTCAACCCACATACGAGAACTATTGTTAATCAATGTGATAGAAATATTCAGTTGTATATTCTTGATAGTGATACTGTAACAAAATACGTTAATAAATTACCTAAATACCATCTCAATTAGCAGTTGCTGAGTAGTGCGTCGAGGCCAGGCACTAAGGTTGGTACCTCGCCTCGGCGCATTTTGCAATTATTTATCTTCATTATATTAGCTACTTTTGTTGATTGAAACTGCTTTTAGGTCTATCGGCCATAGTTAAAGACGTCAATTCAACGTAATGTTCTATAAGCTGTCTTCAAGCGTCTTGTCCTATTTATTACCATCGCAAAGAATTAGACATTTTGTGCAAACCTAAAAGGTTTGTGCAAAGAAACGTACAGTCTGTGCGTTTTTACTCATGAGCTTCAACTACGTAGCTAAATGTAGAGAAATTGTAATGTCATTTCGTGACTAAAGGGCCACTCCATATACCTACTTCATAGTTCCAGATCCTTTAATAGGTATAAACCATAGAGCCCTTCCGTTAACGCTATATTTATCTGAAACGAAAAATGTTACTACTTAAGAATTTTATTTTAGTATTTGTTTTAGATACTAAAATTTACCCAAAACATCAAGACTGACGCCCCAATGAAAATGAAAAATGTTAAGTTCCTGTACGATTCTCAAAAAACTAAAGTTATCGCGTATGAAATCATGGGAGGCCGGTAGTTAGATAAACTTCAAATGGAGATAAACCAGACTGAGCATTTCCTTTTAATTATCAGAATAACAAGTTACTCTAATTTACCCATCACTCTTTCACGAGTATGAGCACAATACATCATCATTTGTGAAGTTTACCTTTTCAATGAAAAAAAGATTTTTCCAAATCTGGTGTCCTTTAAGAGAGGCGTGAAGAAGCATTTTTGCAGGCCGGCAAGGTAAGGATGGTTGGTGTAACAGTTTATAACTCCTGTACCAGTTATCTTTACGTTTGGACTCTATCAGAGTCATTTGCCTACCGGGCTATAAAAAAAAACTGTCTAGGTTTCTTCGAGTAATCGGAAAACATACATAAAAGAAAAGATTCAGACTAGTTCAGATCCTCTTTTTGTTTAGAAATCGGTTAATAAGTTAAGTGTAGGTAGTTCTACTAACCTGAAATAACTGATATAGAGGGAACTATAAATACACCGGATGCTGTCAGTTTAGATCCAGAAATATCAATTTGCTCCACAGAGAATCTTTTTAAGCCAATCACAAATAAGTTACTTGTTGAATACTTAATCCTGAAAAAAAATGTAAGGAAAGGAAAGTAAGACAAAATACAACGTAGTACCCCGGCCCGAGGAAAAAGGTCGTTAGTATACAAAATTCATGATAATATTTCTTTTCATGAACTTTTAAGGAAATTTATAACGGTTAAAACAAATTTGTTAGTTTAAGGCCCACTTGCACGTTCCAGGGTTAATTTATTTACCTCCGAGTTAACTATTAAACTGGGGTTAAAAAAATATTTTTTCTTGCACTGCCATGAGTTAACACTAAAGCTTAGGTTAAATAATAAAATAATTAACCGCCAAAGTTGTAGGGTTAAATTGCTAACTCGAGATTTAAAACGTCAAAATTGTTATTATAGGCTGTGTTGTTTGTTTTTATAGAGATAATATTTTATTTTATTTATTTCTGAATGATGGATGACTTTTTTTTCTGATGATGACGAAAAAATTGTCGACTATAATATAAGTAGGTACATATTTTTTGATCGATATATCCTGCCAAGCTTTTTGTTTTTAAGAAGACGGACGGAAGCGCGGACTTTTTTTTATTTTCAATAATATTTATATATTTGTATAAAATATCACATAGCAGTAAACTGTCACTACTTGTAAAATTCGGGTCACGTAAACGAGATTTCGTCTTCATTTTACAAAATATAACCGCACGAAATTGTTGTCACAAAATACAAACTTACGAGAGAGATACTTTAAAAACACCATGCAATCGGTATACAAACACCTATTTGACAGACAAAATACAGGACGCCATTCAACTTAAACACCCAAAAACACCACGTCTTTTCAAATTTGACATTACGAAAGAGATATGTATGCAAGACACTGTTGTGTGAAAGGGTGAACAATACTTATGTCATTCATCATTCTCTCTTTTTGTAGGGACTCCTGGATTATTTTCTGTTCGTGCAAGATAAAGTCTGAGTTAAGAAAATGTTATATTAACTTTGAGTTGGTAAAGTCGAAGTTATTTTGATATCTCAAGATTTACGTGCAAGTGGGCCTAAGAGTAATAGTCGTTCAATTAATATATCAGAAAATTTCTGACTTAATAAAAAATCCTTAGAAGTAGACGTTAAAAGTGACTTAGTCGACGTAATTGCTTAAAATAAAAACTCTTTCCAAAATATATTTTAGTGACGACGACCAATTACGGAACCCTACCCTACGCGTGGCACGACACGCACTTGTCCGGTATTTTGTTTTGTATATTAAAATGAATCTCTTTTAAGTCCGTTCGTTGATGTTGCAACATTATGCTGAGGTGGGGCTCAGTTAACGATGTACCTTTTGTCCCATGTTTGATGTGTCTTTATTGTAATTGTATAAGTTAATCTATGAATCTATGTCGTCAATAAATGTTTTTTCCTTCTTTTTTTTACTTTTCCAAATTTATTCTTTACTTTAAGTATGTAATTGAATGGACAAGTGAGCTGAAGGATTGTTCATTGTTTAACCAACCAGTAGGTCTTTATATTGGTATATAGAAGATACTTAGGGGAAGGATATCCTCAAGAGCAAGCTACCCACTGTACTCTTTCACTTACATGTATATTGGAATTTTCATTAAAATATGATGTTGTAGGTACTAATCATGGAAACCCTAATCAATTAAGTCCTTACTATATGCAATCGGCTTTAGATATCTGCAAATCAATCAAAACAGGTGCTTAATTCTAAAGATATCACAAAAATTCAATCAGGTGTTACAGTTACACACAAAGTAAAATGTTTTTGAGTAGGTACCTACATAACTTCTTCATTTAATGTACCCATTCGTGGGTCTTACTCAGTGCCTGAATTAGAGTTCTGGCCGCCCTAGGTTAACTTAGAATATGCGCCTCCCGCCTTTCCTTACCTGTTTTTTTTGATGTCGGGTAGAAAAAATGCATTATATCCATGACAATGACCAACGCCACGTTGGTTTGCTGTTATCCACCTGTCCTGACCTACCTTTTTATTCACTTACAGGTGCAACTAATTCAATCGACGACCTCCGTGGCCGAGTGGTATGTACGTCGGGTTTCATGGTGTCACCGACTCGAGAGGTCCCGGGTTCGAATCCCGGTAGTGGTAGATGTTTGTGTGATGAATACGAGCAGTCATGGATGTTAACTATGTATTTCTATATAAATATACTTATATATGTATAATATATGTATTCTATCCGTTACCCTAGTGTCCCATAACACAAGCCTGACAGTCAGTGCCGTCTTTGACCTATTGGAGGCCCTGGGCATATTAGGACGTTTGGTGATTTAACAGGAACTAGGGACTTTGTACTTAAACTGAGGGGGGGCCCTATCGATCGCGGGGCGTGCCCACTGGGAAAGAGGGGTCTGCTTACAGTGCTTACATTGGGGCTAGGCTAATTGGTGTGAGTGTTGCAAATATTATTATTATTAATTACAAGTATTAATTACAGATAGTCCAGTCAATGCACGGTTTTCCCTGGTAATTCTACCAAACAGCACCGGTAAGCACCAAAATCTGGCTGCAGGTTCTACTGACCATTTACTTGCTTTTAACCTAAGGGTGGCCGCCACCCCTTCACGAGGATAAAAATATTTTATTTAAAAATAAGAATAGGAATGGATAGACTAAATCTTAGCCGTGTTCTAAGGTACTTTTTTATAAAGCTTATACTGATAGGCAATATCTTCCGACTTATTCGAGAGAGGAAACATCAATTAAAAAAAAACATGTTCAAGACGGTTTTTTAATAAATAACTCTGTAAATAAGTAAGTATTTCATGAAAACATCCATGGAATAAAATTGTAGCTTATAAAAAACAAACAAAATACTGGAATTGAAATATCACTAAGTACCTATACTGAATCCATACGGAGTGATAGCTTGTTAGAGCTTGGTTCTTCTTCGTCAAACGCCAAAAGCGAAAGCTTTAACTGGAAATATCCCAAAAACAAATGCATTTTTGGGCAGACAAGAGAGGTCCCTATTTTTTTGGCGACAAAAAAAATTAAAATCACCCCCTAATTACCACCCCAATTGAAAATGATTGTTACCACTTTATAGAAGTCTGACCAGCTAAAGGAGCTTAGTTTTGAAAAAAAATATAGGTTGAAGTGAAAATAGCTTTTTGCAAGTTTGCAAACAATTACCTTTCTTCAAAAGTAACTGTATAACTATGGAAGAATATAAACATTTTAAGTGTTAAAAATTTTAGGTTTTTTTTTAAAACATTTCTTTTCTTTTTCTGTTTGATAAAGATTTAGTAAGAAGACGTAAGGGTCATACATTTCAAGTTTGCATATATTCGCAAATAGTCAGCATTTCAAGCTCTTTCAGCTAAAAACTTTTGTTGAATAAGATCTTAAAAATAATATGGCATTCATCAGCTTATAGCTTTAAAAAAACCCTGCAAAACAGTTTTTAGTTGAACTTGCTACATCAAAATCTAAGGGAGTTATGGTAAAAATTCCCAATCATTATTTTTTACAGTTATCAAAACAAATATTTTAATACTGATAAAGAAGAGTCCTTCATCTTTTCGCACATTATGAGACATGTGTATGTGACAAACGTGTGTGAAAAGTTTCATGAGGTTTCCACGAAAAAATGCATTATCTTTCGGATATTTTACGTTGAAACTTCCGATTTTGGCGTTTGACGAAGAAGACGCAACTTATAACAAGCTATTACTCTCCGTTACGTTTGTATTCAATAAAGTAGTATGTTTTTAACCCAGTGTTGTTTGTTTTTTATAAGCTACAATTTTTATTCAAACTGTCTCCCGACAATGGGTGGCGTCCACTAGGTAAATAGCAGCCCCCCTGTATATTAATATTACTCTTTGAGCAGCCCTCGGTACATTAACATATTCTAAGTAGACGGTAAGAAAACCCCTAATACATTTTTTGTGTAAATTGGTGCTGTTTACTAACGCAAAAGTTTGAACAAGGATGTTGGCTAACTTTTTTCTTCGTCTATCAGGTAGATTATGAAAAAGTATTGGACACGTATTTTTTCTTTATACAGATAATCAAGACATAACAGAGATATTTTTAATTTGAAATGTCGCATGACGTCCTGCCTTGGTCAAATTTTTACTTAGAAGTGACGACACTAGCTTCCACTTCTAAATTTGAGGCGCATTTTCAATGGAATTTTTTGGTTGATTGACAATAGAAAAAATAAATTGTAAATTATATTTTGACAATCTAACTGACTTCCAGCCAGAATTTCGTTTACTTTACCCTGTCATCATCCCTATTATGGGCACATGATGCTCAGTTGGGATTGGAATTGCCTAGAGAATTCATTCGAGTTTCTTTCGACGCAGGACGCAGAAATGTATGTTTCAGGCAAGCAAGTCAAGTGAGTGGACTAAGGACTTTAGTTGCTTTATATTTAGCTGCAGCTTTTATAATGACCGGCTGACCCGCTTGGCGACGCCCGTGATGTAAGTCTCAGCTCAGCGCCGCTGCCGCCTGCCGCGCCCCCTTAGTCCTTGCGCCCTAAGCTCAAGCCTTATTAGCCTGTGGATAAATCAGGCCCTGGCTCTAGTCTTCCATTATGTACAGAACGGACCATAACACATCACTCACGAGAGTCCAATGCCTAGTTGTTGTAGATACTAATATATTTTATAGTACGAGTAGACGCACCCGAGACTAACGGTTTTTTCTGCCCGCAGATTTGTGAGCGTTGTCTGTCTCTGGAAAACCTATATTATCCAAAACGAAGAAAAAACTACACATGATACCTACTAGGCCAACTTTTCTGATTTTCTTTAAACAAAATACTTTATTCATTTTATATAAAAAAAGGCGGAATAGTCACACAACATAAGACACGATATCAGAATTACTTATTAGAATATTATTCGCGCGTCACGAGTTCTGGAAACTTTACCTTCTTACCAATAGAAACTTAAAGATACGACACTACGGTGTCCTGTATGGTCTGTATGGTGGTGGTTGGCTCCCCAAACTGGCGGTGTAATTCGAGTGGGAATACCGCAAATTAAAAATCTCTTTAAATAAGAAATATAGGTAAAAATATATATGTACCTTACACCGTATCCCTCATAGTCGCCATTTGTTGACGGCATCGATATTACATCCAAAGACGGCAGAGGAAATGAAAATGGTCCTCTCTCTCCAGCCCGCCATTTTGTGAAAAGTAACAGTACATTTTCTTCTAACGCATTCTTTGCTAAATGAAATTAAAATAAAGAAAAATGTAAGTAAAGTAATGAATTAAAAAAATCGTTATTAAGGTATTTCTTTTTAGAATCAAACTTTAAAAATGCATTTTCTCAAACCTAGCTTTTTCTTTCTCTTTCAGGGACTTAACTTTGTCGATTTTTGCGATCCTTTTCATTTTATAGTTCTTTGGAAAGGAAATTAGTATATTATGCATAGCCTTAAATAAAACTAGTGCAAGATTAGTATTGTTTACTAGACTTACGTTTCGCGTCTTCACCCACACTAATACCTGCAAACACAACGGTAACAAAAGCTAACAGAACAGACCTCATTTTGATAAATTCCAACTGAAACTAAGGACTGTCTTATGCAACTCAGTATTTATACACTTCAATTATTTACCAAACCTGAATAATAATTATTTTAGTATGACAAATGTTTTGTTGAGTAAGCCAACAAAATGGTATCTAGATCTATAATTTCGTGTAGTTACTACAGGGCGGTTTCCTGTAATTTTTTATAGCTGACGAACGCTAACGAGTCACCGCGATAGTGAAATGAAGGTGAATCTCAGTCTTTATAGGTATTTAAGAAATGAATTAGATCATTCGTGATAAATATTATTGAAATCATCCGGTCAAGGGCGATGTCATGATTGTCTTACTATGAGTAGGTACACTACAACGTAATGCCATAACTCGTTAAAGCGAAAAAAAAACTACGTAGGCGCGAGCGAAGTGCTCCAGCATTACATTAATTTGTTTTAATCTAAGGCTCCAGCATAAAAAATTATATCACAGTGGCGGTTTTAGAATTTTTAAGAAAGTCTAACGGTAGGTAGTACTGCTATATAGCAGTAAGTTTGATAATATTATCAAACTTCATTTCGGAACCCGTATAGATAAAAAGTATAATTCGCTTTACCTATATCAAATGGTATCGAAAATTTTTGAAGGTAATTCGTCATTGTTTTGAATTCCTCGGAAACGATTACAAAATTACAATGCCTAAATGCGTCAGGCAATGCCTGATTTGATAATTAATTGTTTTTTATTACTTGTAATTTTATAACAAGGAAGGTGAATTATAAGTAACAGAAAAAATATAAAACTAAACATAAAATAAAAACATAAGTAAGTAATAATAACATTAAACTTATTTTGGGATTAAATTAAGAGGGTGGAAGAAGGACAGAAAAAGACAACGATCGGTTTGGCTTATGGTTAGGTTAGACGAGCCCACATAACAGAAAAGTTTTGACCTCTACCGAGACCAGAGTGGCAACTCCATTTGTTATTTCAAGCTTAATCGTTGGATTTATTTAAACTTTCCCTGCCTACCGCTGACTAGCCGTCGCGCCTGGCGTCCAACGTGGGACCCGCAATCCAGCACCGGATGCGGCTAGAGAAGGAGCGATCGGTATGAACGTGATATTGGTGTTGAAAATGAGCGGTACCGTATGGAAGAATTAAACCCCACAGCTGAGCTAGTACCCAGTATAAATGTCAGTGCTAACATAGTTATTACATCCACGGAGAGTTTAAAAAAATCAACTATTAATGCTGCATGAGTGTGCTCAAGAAATGTTGAATTCACTTTCCAACAAACTTAATAATAAGTAGGTAAGTTTACCTACTTATTATTATTTATGCATGACATTATAGTTAAAACGCTCCGGACACATGCTTCACAGTTTTTTCTATATAGGGTGAAATTGAATGTTTTAATGAAACTTCGTGAGATTGTTGGGTTACGAGTATAGAGTATGCCTGATTTTTTTCGGATTTTTTTGAAGTATTTTTTTTCATGTATTTATTTATAATTTGTGTATATTTTTGTCCTTTCCTCCTTTTGAGTAGTTATTCATATTAAACAAACATGCTTACATATCCAGTGAAAAACAACTAATAAATAAGCACTTCTAAAGAACGGAAAAACAGTAAAATTCCACCGCGGGTCAACGACCGACCGCGCCCGCCAGCCGTTGAGTGAGTAGGTGCGTACACAGAGCTCAGCTGACTCGTTTGATTCCACACAATAGAATAAAATCGTCTTAGATGCCTTTATTGAAATTGAAATAATAAGCACAAATGTCATCTTCTCTTAAGCAGAGAAAAACTTAAAAAGTTAATAATAATTTTGTCACGATTGGAAATAGGCAAAAGTTAAACAAAAAGAAATACTTATTGCAGTTCAATACTTGGGTCAGAATGAAATTTATTACCAGGTATTCAAAAGTACTTACGAGACCGATGTACCTATTAATTTTTTTCTCTATAACTTCCCAATAAATCACCAAACCTACTTTCGTAAAGCCTTGTGGCTCTGCTGAGTATTCCGTGACACTCGCAATAACAACACACCATATCCAAATTCTTATATTGAGGGCACAGAACAAGAACTAATCAAGGCATTATTTGCAAATCTTGTCTTGTCACAAATTTAAAAGATACGCACGCGCGCTTGAGACTCCGCTCGCTCACTGCGCTGTGCACCGCGCATACCTAGATAGGTAGGCAGGAAGGTATTCTACGGCGGGAGCGGTCATTGCTCCCGGCCGCCCGTCTCCTGTTTTTACGTCTTTTTTAGTAGTGCTCATTACTTGTTTTTTACTTACTCTGTATGCATGTTTTAAAAGAATAATTATTTAGTACCCAAAAGGAGGAAAGGACTTAAAATATAACAAAAAAAAAACAAAATTTTATTTTAAATCATTTTTTAAAAAATCCGAAAAAATTCAGAGATACTCTATATACGTAACCCAACATTCCCACGAAGTTTCATTAAAACATTCAATTTCACCCTGTATAGAGACTTATGCAAGAATACCTTTACCTTAAGTATGGGTACTTAAACAAATTTTATTTATTTATTTATTTATTTTGTACACACACAATAAAATATTACATAAAAGAGAAACAAGAGACATGTACAAGGGCACTGCTTATTTCATAATGAAATTTCTTCCAGCAGGCCCGCGAAAGGAAAGAACATAGAAAAAGGCAGTCAGTGTGTGCTCCTGAATAAATATAACATAATACATATGCAATACATACAATAACATACAATACATATATAAATAATAAATATTAACTAATAAATTGATAAATATTAATATAAAATAAATAAAAGCAAACTAGGAGAAGCAATAAAGTTTTAGATTTTCAAGTAGAAAGGTAGTGTTCCTTCAATCGTTTTTTAAAGGTAGAAATGGTCTGGGCGTCTCTGATTTCTGCTGGCAACGAGTTCCATAAGCGGATGGCATGGACTGTAAAAGAGTAGGATGCAAAGTCAGTTTTGTGAGTAGGACATTTGAGAAGGGATTTTAGGTGGGACCGGCAAGGAACATCAAGCGAGTGGGTGAAAGAAAACCGCTCTCGAAGATAGGAAGGATATAAAGGATTGTAAAGGATGTTGAAAAGGAGACAAAGGATTCTGACATTCCTGCGCAGACGTATGGGAAGCCACTTGAGTTCCTTTCGAAAGTTGGAGACGTGATCGTACTTACGAAGACCAAAGATGAATCGGATGGCAAGATTCTGCAGGCGCTCAAGTTTGTTAAGCAAAATCTCCGTAGCGTCTAAATAGCAAGCATCAGCATAGTCGAGAAGGGGTAGAATAAGAGATTGGGCAAGGGCAATTTTAGAATGTAGAGGAAGAAAATTTTGTAAACACTTTAAGGTGTGAAGTGAAAAATACATTTTGCGACTTACATCAGCGACGTGGGCTGTCCATGAGAGATTGGAATCAATTATCACTCCGAGATTTTTCACCGTGTCGCTGTAAGGAATATTGATTCCACATATAGAAACGGGTGGCAAATGAAAGGAACGGATATAATTAGACATATACCTACTCCCTATGATGATCGCCTGTGATTTACAGGGATTAACAGAGAGACCATAAAATTTTGCCCAAGTACTGATACGGTTAAGGTCCTCATTAATGGCTGCTATTGCGGAGTCCGATTCGTCAATATTGAAATGGCGATAAAGCTGCAAGTCATCTGCGTAGAGATGGAACTTGGAGGAGATAACTCTTATAACTCTTTTATTAAGGGAGTACTCGATTAAAGCTATTCGGAGCATTATTAATTGCTCCTTACCTATCCAATAATAAATAAATTAAATTTAAAAAAATTATTGCTCAAATTCATTTATAATGAATAGGTATATCCTTTTTTTACAAACAGTGGATCCGACGGACGTTGTCCAGCCTAAAACCGGACTGTAGCGCCATAAAAGGTTAAGTTAAGTTTCTTAATTCTTCTGCGTAACTCATAATTTTCCCCCCGTAAGAACCAACAAGTATTAGAAAAGGTGGATAAAAAATAGATGAAATAGGCAAAGTCATTCCCAAGTAATGTCGTGACCAAGAGAGTCAATCAACTCATCATCAATCAGTCAATCATTCAGTCTTAATCTCTCTTTATAACAACAAATCAACTTTATTTGAAGAAAAAAAAAAAAAACTCCATCTGATTTAAAAGGTAACTTTAATGAAAACAGAAAAGAAAAAATCATGGTAGGTAGTCTAGAATCTAGTCAAGTTAGGAACAAAGGTACTTAAACAATCGGGATCAATAATTATTGGCAAGGTTTGATTTATTTTTGAATATCTATTATGGAACTCGACTGTTGAAATAGCCTTGTTCCCTAGAATTCTAGACTTGTAAAATGTTTATACACTTCTGGACACATCTATTGGCCCACCTTGTATTTTCAGTTTCGTTTGGTCCTAGCTAAAATTTTATATTAGGTCGAGCAAAAAGTTTTTATGCAATTTTGAACCTGGCACATCCACAATTTCATTCAATAGTCTTTTTTTGAATTTCGAACCCAGAATTTAAAGAAACAAAAGACAATTTGGAGCCTGTTTGTTGATATCAAACAATCGAATACTAACAAAACTTGGTTTTATTGGTTTACTTGGATTTAATCTTGAAAAAGTGATTGATATCTTTGGTTTTGCAACAACCATTACTTATTCTTAACATTAAGGTGAGGTTCTATCAATAATCTATGGATACTTCACCTGAAGTCGCCGCCCAAGCTGTGGCACTTATTCAGGCCGGACACAGCCAAAGAAACGTGAGTGCTCAACTTAATTTAAGTCGATTTGCGGTCCAAAATGTTTATCGGAGGTACCTAGAGACTAGCGGCTTTGTTCGTCGCCAAGGAAGGCCACGATCTCGGGTCACAACTGAAAGGCAGGATCGATTCATCGTGACGACCAGCTTGAGAAATCGTCACCTTACCTCCATTGAGATACAAAAACAAATTCGTGACTTCCACGGAGTATCTGTGAGCGCTCGAACTGTTCGGAGAAGGTTAAAAGAACGCGATATGGTACCACACAAGCC